GGCTGTATTTCTATCTGTTGATCGAATCGTCATATACATAATTGCAACGTATGATAAATTGTGGGGTTTCATGGCACCTTGTTGGCACTATGATTAACCATCTGTCAAGTTGTCACGTGACGTCATGGTGTCAATACATGTTGTCAAATAATGTCACGTGGCCTCGTGACGTCACGTAACTCACTGCGTTAAATCGATTTAATTTGAGGAAGTCACTACATGTATTAACCTTGTTGACAGCATGACGTAACATGACATCACGATTTCGCACCGAGAGTCACGTGACACCGTGACGTAAGCGATTTTCATAACCCCTAGTCGAGTGCTCAGGTTCATGACAATCAGCATGGCCAAACATTCAGGTAACGGTTCATGTCAATTAGATATGATAATCAATAGCCCAACACTAACAATATCTGAAGCTCAGCCCAAGCTTTTGCTTTGCAAACCCTTACAGCCTAGGGCATGACTGCGATGAACACTGGCGGTATATAATTAGGGTCAGATCACGTGGCCGCTTGTTCAAATTGCGAGTTGAGGAGATATCGACAGCTGTCTCTGTCCTTTATTTTTTCTGCATCTGTTATTAGGCGAAAACTAATGGATGTTTCCACAACCTATCAACGTCACGGGTTATTTATTAACACTATTTATTGAAAGTACAAAAAAAATGTTGCAAGACCAATTTTACATTATTGAGGCATTGAAACATTTTTTCGTTGTTGCTGAAGTATATCCGAAAGATGTCCCTGAGAATAGAAGTTTTGAAATGACTAAATGCGACCTATTAATATGACGTTACATAGAACTACACGTGTGTACGGAAGGAATACCTAAAAAAAGATAATTTAGTGACGTGAGAGGAACAGCCGAACGTTGTCAGTCGCTGTAAATCTCACACGAGCATCGTTCTCAAGTTATTGCCCAAGTTTCGACCCCTCTGTATTTTGTTTAAAGGAGCAATAACATATTTCTATACATTACTAAATACTACTCAGGATCAGCCCCTAACGTTAATAACTGATTGAACTTGGCTTTTCTCTTTTTTCTAGGCAATGGTAGTCGCCGAAAAAATTAGAGAAATATGAGCATCGTTCATCCCCTCAACTCGGAGCCAGAAGCGGCCACGTGGCCTGGTGCCTATCTTATGCCGCCAACGTTAATCATACCCCCGCGCTGGAGTTTTAAAGGAAGAAAACGCGTGCTGGAGCTCCAGGCATTGTTAGAGTTCGACTATTCTCATCACCACAGTGGTTGGACACGAGCCACGTGCACTACCCAAGTGTCCGCCGAGGCATTGATTGTTACGAGCCGATGTACGGTGCTCACACAGTTCTCCTGCCCAATCCATGAGTCGCGCTCGACTGTCGACAGGCGGGTGGTTTTGATCCCACAATTACAACATCAATCTTTGAGAAGGCAAGACTAAAAGAAATAGTCTCGTTCAATCCTCGCCATTTCACCGCGACAAAGAAGCTTCTGAATCAGTGGCGCCCTATGCGAGTACACTTGGACCAGGGGACCAGTACGCCATGGAAAAGTCATGCACATTCCAACCCGATATCGTTTCATGACCCTTTTAAACTTCACGGGGTGCAAAATAAAAGCAATGAAAGGTTGCGGTTAACAAGTGTCAAATAAAATTGTCGAATTAACAGACACAAACGAAGGAGGCAATTCCTCAGGAATACTTTCAGCCTTTCTACTCTGGTGAAGAAGGAAGGCCAGAAATGCTGTACTATGGTGGGAATGAAGTAATGGCCAGCCGCAAGTCGGCAAGCCAGACTGGAAAGGCTGGAGGGGCTGCCGCCATTTATGAGCGACGGTGGTAACCAAACAACTGGCAAGCCGGCTGTCTGGTAGCCGTCGCCATTTATAGATGGCGGTAACGCATGACTAGCCCTTAACAGCACCGCTGTATAAAGAAGTGCGTCTGTGTGTGGGGCCGGGGGGGGGGGGGGGGGGAGTTTTAGAAACATACTGTGTTGTAAAGGTTCCTCTTCCCTGCATCGTTGGCGCAGACCAAAAAGTGTGACCCCGGAAACTACTTTGATTGGAAAAGCGCTCTTGCCAAAAAGCACGTTTTTGTCGTGCCAGACGCTGGCGCCGTTCCTCACGACGATGCACTATGAATAATAATACTAGCCTTTCAAATACTTTGCTTTCACTGAGCTTGCACTTCCTGCAGCGTGCCTTTTGCACCGTCGAATCCAACTTTCTCAGCAAGAAGGAATCAGAATGACCACCAGCCTATAGTGTGATAACGTCACGTGCATACCATGCTAAATAGTTCAGCTTTCTGGTGAAATATGATGTTCGCAACACTAGCCATAGATGTTCTAATTGTAAATTTGTGAAGTATTTATAGCAGTCTCGCGATGAGATATGGCCAGTATTTACAGCGCCAAAAAACGACAGGACAAAGACGAGAGTAAACAGGACGAGGCGCACTCGCAACTAAAGTTTATTTAGGAAAAAACACATAATAAATAGGCCGTTAAAAATGCCTATTCATTTCATCAATCCAGAAGACCTCTTGATAAAATCAAACTCTTTCCCTGAGAGGGCAAGGGAAGGCTCGCTAACGCATTCATCTCCCTTTGCTCTAATCTCAAACGCCTCGTGCACTTCTCGGCATATTTTATCTTTGTATTTCGCCAGAACCTTCACATCATGCAGAACTGGTGAGCACGGGCAGCGACTACAATGAACAGCTAGGTTACCAGACGGGCTTGCTCTCATAGCTGACGCATGTTCCCGTGCACGATCATTGACACATCTGCCAGTCTGGCCGATGTACACGGAGCCGCAAGTCAGCGGAATTTCGTAAACCACTCCGACGGCACACTCAGCTCTAAACCGCTGTGCAACTTGCACAGCGGTTTAGAGTACCCGTAGTATTTTCAGCTCCGGAAAAGATGGCACACTTGTGCCGTAGAATCAATAATCCCCAGACAGACATGGAGCAGTGCGGCACAAAACACAAAACCAAATATGCTGAGTGTGCCGTCGGAGTGGTTTACGAAATTCCGCTGACTTGCGGCTCCGTGTACATCGGCCAGACTGGCAGATGTGTCAATGATCGTGCACGGGAACATGCGTCAGCTATGAGAGCAAGCCCGTCTGGTAACCTAGCTGTTCATTGTAGTCGCTGCCCGTGCTCACCAGTTCTGCATGATGTGAAGGTTCTGGCGAAATACAAAGATAAAATATGCCGAGAAGTGCACGAGGCGTTTGAGATTAGAGCAAAGGGAGATGAATGCGTTAGCGAGCCTTCCCTTGCCCTCTCAGGGAAAGAGTTTGATTTTATCAAGAGGTCTTCTGGATTGATGGGATGAATAGGCATTTTTAACGGCCTATATATTATGTGTTTTTTCCTAAATAAACTTTAGTTGCGAGTGCGCCTCGTCCTGTTTACTCTCGTCTTTGTCCTGTCGTTTTTTGGCGCTGTAAATACTGATCATGAACCAACTAGCCCAAATTTCTACTTTGCTGAGATATGGCAGCCTAGAGAAATGTTAGAACGCATGATTATTCTAGCATAGTGCTGTAAAGTGAGGGCCCAAAACAAGTGCAGGTAAAACCGAATATAACATTTGGCTCCCGAGGCAGTATTTCGGAAGTTTCGAGCTCATGCAAGCTGATGAAATGTAATATACTAAGATTTTAAGAATCTGTCTGTCCTTCGCGCTATTTATGTAAAATCATGAATATCATTGCGTGCATCTTTACGCATCTCCTTTTGCAGTAAGGCGTTCTGGAAGGGATTATTTGGAAAACATAACATTAATTATCTCTCTCTTTTTGAACATTTCGTGTATTTGACTTCCAATTCATCATGTGAGCATAGAGTCCTTTTTAGCGTACCCTGCAACCCGATGTTTCGCACTGCCAATCAGCAAACAGAAAAACACTTTTACGTGTTAAGGTGTTCAAATTTTCCCATGTGTGTAGCTATAGTCTTTTGCAGGGTTCGGAAGATATTTTGTTAACAGATTTCCGTGAGAAATTGAAGCTACACAAAACTGCAATGGAGAGGAGGGCTAGGCCTACTAGTGGCGACTGAACCGCGCAGAGAAAAATGGCTCAAATTCATGCTGTTGTGGTTTGCCCGGAGGTCATCAAATGCATATATGACTAATTTCGCAATCATAACAGGCACGAATGAGTGTGATACATCAAATAGAGATTCCAGAATAAAAACAACATTAAACCAAAATCAATTATTTTTAAACATATTGCAGTTTTTTTACCTTTATCTCTTAAAGGAAAGCTGAAGAGGTTCTTGAAAAAGCGAGTTGGAGGTGAATTCTGTAGTATTTTTTATCCCGCGATTCTGAATATCCTGTTCATTTTCCCCTAAGATTTAACTAAACGCGAGAAAACACGAAAAACCTCCAACAAGTTGTTACGTCGTAAAAGGATCTTTCGGCCGCCACGCGCGTCGCTCCTGTGGGCAGAACGTGCAATTGCAAGCTTGCCAGGTATATTCCCCTGCACTGACACCAGCCCCAACGTCTTTTTCAGACCTTTTTGAAAACAGCAAGAGTGCACGGCCATAGCTTTGATAGGCGCTGAGAGGAGATTCCGAAAACTTATGTTATGATTTTGGACCTTCAGCGGTGCTTTGAAAATGATTTTCTGCAGCCTACATGCATCAAATTGGAAGATAATCCTGATATTCGTGATCCTGGAGGCCAAATGAAGACGATTTAAGTGTTTTTACTCAAACACAAAACAGCTTCAATTTCTTTTTAAGGTCTGTTCACACATACATCACAGTGCTTTGATGCACTAGACACAGCACCGGCTTTGCTGTGCAGTGCTGACTTTGTGCTATACAAGTGATGCAGTGCTGCATCTGTGCTAAGTTACATTCAAGTCAGTGCTGCTCTTAGTACTGCACTGTATGTGTGAACCAGCTTTTGAGGTTACCTTCAGAAAGTCCTGCAACTCCAGATAACTGGGCCAAGGTGGCTTCAAAAGGCACAAGAGCGCACTTGAAACAGGCAACGTTTCTGTGCTGCCTGTTCTGGTGGGAGTCAACCCAGAACAAACAGCAACTGCTTTTATTTGCCCCCCAACAAATCAGAGGAAGAGGACGTAGTCTTTGCTCTTGGCAGCCTCAAAGGTTTTGCGGATGTTCTCGAAGACTGCCTTGGGTGGTAGGGACGCGTCAATCCGGGTGTGCAGCCCCCGCTTCTGGTAGTAGCCCACCAGAGGCGATGTCTGCTTGTGGTACACCTCCAGTCGCTTCTTCAGGGCATCCACATTGTCGTCCGACCGCCGCACCAAAGGCTCGCCAGTCACCTAGCAAGAGGATGAGCATGCGGTACAGCCAAAGGCCTGTGCTCACAGGGCATTTCATTGCAAGGCATGCCCTCGCAAGACCCGTTATTAGAAGGCATGTCAATGCAAGGTCTGTCCTCAAAAGGCATGTCATTGCAATGTCCCTCCTGGCAATTCTCCCATTGCAAGGTACATCACTGCAAGGCTCGTCCTCTCAAGGCACATCATTGCAAGGCCCATCCTCATAAGGTATGTCATTGCAAGGGCTGTCCTCATGCAACAAGTCCTCAGAAGGCATGTCCTTGCAAGGCATGTCACCGCAAGGCCTGTCCTCACAAGGCCCCTGCTTGCAAGGCATGACACCGTGAGGCATGACCTCTCGCAAGGAATATCCCCACAAGCCACGTCCTACCAAAGCACATTTTTACAAGAAATGTCTTCCCAGGGCCAGTCTAGGGTTGTTAAATAGGCTACACTTGGTGCAATGTCTCTCAGACTCCTTAATCTCAATTAACAATCATATCCCTCTAGTGAGAGCCAAGGAGCCCTTCCCCCTCTAGGCAGTGTTGCAACAGAGCAGTACAGATGTGTACGGAACTTGTAAAATATAACGTACGGAACTTGTAAAATATAACGGACATACCAGGGAGTGGATTGACTCATATCTGCTGAAATAGTATTGGACTGGAAAATAATATTTTACTTCGGAGTAGGGAGGTCAAGGAAATTTGGGAGTTAGTGTGACTCCCCCAAGAGTGCCATGGGGAACATCTGGGTTCCTAAAAACCCAGTCTGTGAGCCCAAGGCTTAAAGCAGTGTTTCTCAAACACTGATATTTCGCGGACCCCTTGTGGATCGGCGGAGATGATGGGAACCCCGTTCGTGGTGAGGGGAAGGAAAAGTTATTGGTTAATATGATAGTGATTTAATAAATGGAAATAACCAAGGGCTAGTATGAAGTAGATTTCTCTTATATACACGAGAAAACGTACCCGAATACTGGGACGTTTATTCTTAATCTAATAAAAGACAACTTTTATTGTCGGGAGACAGGGCTTCGCGGACCCCTAGGATGCCTTCGCGGACCCCAAAGGGTCCGGGGACCCCCATTTGAGAACCACTGGCTTAAAGCATAGACGCTCAGTCCCTTGTTTGTCGTGTGGACACCGTCATTTCGTTGCCTAATGTGAAGTGAGTGGGCACAAGTAGTGATAGCTACAATTCAAAAATGTGACTTCCTGCGTTTCAAGTGCGGTGTAAAATAGCCTGGACAATAACGTCTCGCTCTGCCGCTCACTAGCCAGCCACCTGTGCCTTACCAGCGAAATAGTAGACTCAATCATTCAAACTCCAGGAAGTCATAAATTTTGTATGAAGTATTGGAAGTTTGAATTAGAAATTCATCCAAATATGATGCAAGACCAAATTATGATTTGTTCTAAGGATGGCTACATATAGAAAGCATATATTTGATGATTTCTTCTACACAGGCTTACCAATCATAAGTGGGTACGTCACACACGCAACATTGGTGAAATGTATGTGATTTCGTCTTCCAAAAATGTTGCCCATCGTGGACACTTGAGACAGCACATGACGCCTTGGGGCAAAATGAAATTTGTTCGTCCAGCAAAAAGGTTGTCTTTTGTGGGCTACTAGCCCAGTTGAGTGCGCTTCTTACCGAGCACCAGTGCACTGTGGGGAAGCAACACCTGCAGAAGCGAGCTCCACAGGTTTTGCTTCTCCGAAGCACACTGGTGCTCGGAAAGAAGCGTGCTCAACAAGGCTGCCAGAAAAAGTATGAATTGCATCGAAAACATAGCAGGACAACCAAAATCTTGAAATCTGTTTGAATGAACCAGAAGCATGAAATATGCGAGTTTGAATTATCGCAAGCCTACCGTAATCTGTCACTCCTGAGGCAAGCACAGATTGGCCGGCAAAACAAGAGCGCGAGGGAGGGAGGTGCTATACTCTGTTCACCCCTAAGCTGACAGTGTAATGGGAACCATGCATTTGTCAGACCAATAGGCCTTTTTTTTTTTTTTAAAGTCCGTCCATCCACCCTGTCCAGTGCCAAAACAGATGCCCTAAAGGTAGTAGTTTAATTGTACATCACAGTGCTAAATCGACATTAGGAACAGCACTGAAGCAGCACTATGTCAGTGCTGAATCTCTAATAATAGCACACAAAGTCAAGACTGCACCAGCAAGATCGGCGCTGTTTCGAGCGCCGATGATTGCGCCGAGGTAGCGTTGTGGTCTATGCGTGAACAGGCCTCAATGGCAGCACTACACGGGACAAGCGAAAGCAGTCGAAATTGTGAAGTAGAAAGCGGCGAATTTATTCCAACAAGCTGGTCCTTGGACATCGCTTTCGCTTTACAAAGTCGAGGGTGCTCAAAGTTGGGCAATCTTATTGTCCTGCGCCATCAGTGCGGAATCAATCATTGGAGGTTTTGAGACTGCCACTAGATGGCTCAGATATTTGAAAAAGGTCTATTAACCGCCCGACCCCGCTCTAAAATGCACGTAAGGCTAGTCCAATGAGCACACACAGGTGAAGCCTGGGCACTCCAAGCTCAGCGGCATATGGAGCACGAAAATGCAGGCCACTCACGTCGTCCGTCATGGGCTGCTTGGGTGGGTTGAACTCCTCGTGGTAGGACCTGCCACTGGGAAGGTGGGTCAGCCGTCCCGTGATGCGCCGGATCAGCAGGCTGTCGTCGATACTGAACTCGGCCACGGAGTCCAGGGGGGTGCGCCTCTTCTCCAGCATCTCGTCCAGCTGCACGCAGGTGCACATGCACCACGTTTCAACTTCAGCAGACTTTTTCCGTGGTTTGCAGTTTCGCCTCAAAAGGAGCTTGACACACCGATTGATGTAGCCATACTTGTATTCCAAATGTTATGCAAAATTAATCTTTTTAAAACAAATTAACCGATTGCTTTTTCGGTTCTCATCATTCCTTCAAGCTGAAAGTCTCCACTGGCAACACTGAAAAAGGTAAGCCAGTAAAGGCTCAAGTTCACTGTTTAGGCAGTAGAACTTGTTCCCCAACAGGTTACAAGTTTGATGGCGCGAAAATAATGCTGTGGTTGGTGCCGTGCAAGCTTACTCGACACTCGCTCAGTAGCATGAAACCAAGGCGTGGCACATTCCATTTTCTAAACAGCCTTCTCAAGCTGCAATCTGCCTGCCAGTGACGTCATGCTGCTAGAAAGTGCTCGGAAATTCCAATGTTGGTTTTGGCATCAGCTTCATTTGCCATTTTATCAATAATCCTTTAGAATGAAGAGATACTACACAGCATGCCAGAAAGAGGTATGCCCGGGTATTCAGAAAATGTAGTTGGTTTGGGTGGCACAAAAAATCGGCGAAGTACCCCTTAACCAACATGTGCTTAGAGTACTGTCACAGCTTTAGGAATGCCTCGGGGTTATGTTGTCAGAGCACCTGCTCTTTTCATCGTACACCAGTAATCTGTAATTGGATGATGATTCTCTCATTTTACTTTCTGTAAACGACAGTTTTATATCGACAAATTTCAAGCAAGTGACGTTCTTTTACACAAGGTGACCCCAGTAACATAGCTGATTGTGGATCAACACGGCTGCTTGACTTGTAACAAATCCAACTTTGTGGACCTTATTTGAAGGGGATAGCATTTTCTTCAGCAGCCCCCTGGAAAATTCGAACTTGTAACAGGAAACAAATGGACATGTGTGGGAGAGTGATAAGTGGATAAATTGAAAAGCTCAAAACTCCAAACATCCACCAAGGGGAACTGAATCGAGGATGCAAGATTGTGAGCCTGGCACCCAACCGCTGTGATAAGGGGGAAACTTGCAAAGCAATGCTTATGATATTAGATACAACACTTCTTTTACAAACCAACACCACAGAATGTGCAGGCGGCACATGGGGTTGCCCTTACTTCTACTCCCACCACACGGGGGCTCGTGCAGAATTGACGCACAACAGTACGCAAGGAGCCCGCGCTTGTGTCCACCGTTGTGCAGCAATTCCACAGCTTCCAACAGAGGGGACACTTTCGAAAAGGAGTCTACGATAGAAGTGACATGGTCCCTGGAGAGGTGCTCCAGTCATCTTCGCATTGCCACGCAAGAAAGCAGGCCAAAGAGGACATCACTTGAACACGGGTGGCGGTTCACCGAGGCTCGGCGTATTCGTTGTGCCAGTGAGAAGCCGAGAAAGAGAACAGAGTCTGGCTAGGGGCAAAAAGGCAAGAGGCTCGTTCTGCTATCACCGAGGGCCGAGTGAGGGAACGAGGGTCGTCTCAACTTAATCGGCGAAATATGACCTTCGCAGAAGAGACTGAGAAGTGCCGTCGCATTTCAACGTAGTCAGCAGCAAAGCGCTGCAGAAACGCAGCCTGGTTTTTACTAGGCTCCGATTCGATTTAAGCAAATAATATTTAGTCAACTCCACTCTGCCTCACCAACACCATCGTAATGTCAGTTCACGTCTGTCAGAAAAAGACCACATTTGGACATAGCTATCGTCCGGAATGATTGTTTGGGCAACCCGAAACACAGTTCATGCTCTGCTCTTCCTAACAAAGATAAGATACCAATAATCAATAATTTGTTCAAAACTTGAGCATGAATTCCACATCTGGAACCCCCGCTAGGCACATGTCAACGTGAAAATTGAAGCTTTTCAAAACCCACTCTCTGTTCCTGGCTAGTCGCACCATTCCAGTATCACCATTTTAAAAACACCAAATCAATCTTCCCAAGCAGGTCAAGCATGACGGCACCAAAAGGCCAGTGGCCAATGTCGAGGAAGCCCACAACACCGAGTGATAGTAGAGTAAAGATGCGGTGAATGTAGACGGACGAGTAAATGGCGGTGACGGAGGTTAAAAATGGAGCTTGCAATAATTGAAGGTGAAAGGATGACGCCGAAGACGCATAAAATATTCATTCACACAAAACTGCATGTGCACGGACAGCTGCCGATAAAGGGACCCAACGTCATCAAGGTCGTCGGCAGTGCTGGGTAAAGTAGATCTAAAAAGTACTTTTAAAGGGGCCCTGCAACAGCTTTTTGAGTGGTTTTTAATTTCCACCGAACCTGAGTGCACTGAACGTAGTAACTTAATGAAACCTCTCTGTTCTCAAATTTCGCTTCATTTTAAAAGTTATAGGTAAATTAGAATTACAAGAACAAGCAAAAAATAATGTGCTTCATGATGCCATAGGTCCTGGCTTAAACGGCCGTGAACTAGAGGAAGGGTAGTGAGCTTATCGAGCGCTCACGGCTGCCGCACTCCGTGTCGACGGCTCGAGAGGGCGCCACTAAAGCATGAGTTGGATAGGATGTAGGAAGCGGGCGGCCAGGGCGGCTCACATTGCATTTGCAGCACGATTAAAGACTATTTCGGTATAACACTTCATTGGCCACAAACGACAGCAAACACGGGGTAAAGATCAGTTCAGAACAGGAGCTACTTCGCGCTGCCATATCGCCAAATGGCCAAATCGCCAGCAGGGCCCGCGCCGAAGGCCTTTGGAACGCTCGGAACCAGTTGGATCCTCGAGCCGGTATACGACCGCAGCGCTGCCGCGTACACCCGGGACTTTTCTACGCTCGCCGTTCGTCGGTGCCTGATGCCACTAGCCCTTTCTAGTATGCGCAGTTTTTTCCGCCGCTTGGTGGCGGGTATGTCGACGGGTCATTTCTTGTTTCCGTACTTTATAAACTGTATTCGTTTCTTTTCTGATCTAAAATTCTCAACAAAAACTACTTTCATACATAATTGAAATGGTTCGCGACACTTATATTTTGTATCTTGACTAAAAAAAAGCTTTTAGCAACTCTAACCAGTAGTAAGGCCAGGACCTAAGACGTCACATATCGCGCGCTTTCGGCAACGCGGGTCGCCCTCGTAAGTGGAGGAGGTTTCCGCGTCGTCCGGTTAAAATATGACGCACTGATATTTAGTTACTCCCTCCGTGCCTGCTGGCTTGCCTAAACCCCAAGAGACGTCGAAACCGCAGAAAAAGGTAGACGCTTAAATATGATTGCAGGGCCCCTTTAAAGGGAAGCTACGGAGCTTCTTGGAAAAAATGAGTTAGAAGTGAATTCTACTGTATTTTTACCCCGTGAACCCGAATACCCAAACCATTTGCTGCGTAAGTATTGGTAAACGCGAGAAAAACGCGAAAGACAGTCGCTGTCCGTGACGTCATCGACGGCTCTTTTGGCTGCCCAAGGCTAGGGGGGCGGGGCTTCAGCCCTATTTTGAAATTGCTCTTGTGGCTCTCCGGCGCGTCGCATTGAAATATAATTTTGATATCTGTTATTCTAAAGGCCAAATGAACGCAATTCATGCGTTTTTTCTCAAATGTAGAAGTGCCCCATCTTCCCTTTAAGTACAAAGTAAACCAGAAATTATGTATTTCCAGTAAAGTTGCAAGTACACCAGGCACAACAGAGTTGAAGCAGTATAAATACAATATACTTATGTACTTTTTAACACAATCTTTCATGATGACCTTATAGAGAACATATATAGTGTTTTTTGGTATGCATTCCCCCAGGGGTAAACGGGAGTGCATCAGTTATTTTCGTAAATGGAACAGTTGCTTTACTCTTGCTGAAAACCTATTTAACAGAGCTAACTTATCAATCTCATAGCAGCCATTACTTTACTCAGAGAAATTATCAGACGTTTCGAAAGACGATAGCGCGTTTTCACACTACGATACACCATTTGTTTGTTTTCAAATTTGGGGAATATACTTTGAAGTCGGGAACTGTACTCTCCTCGGAAAGTACCAAAATGTTTTCAAGTAAAGTTCAAGTTTTCCGAGCCTACTTCAAGTAGTACTTTAAGTACTTCCTAACACTGGTTGTCGGCGATCCTCGAAGTGAGGTCGCATAATAGAGGCTTTCATATATTGCCAGCGCGCATCCTTTATTCCGTGGACACACCTTTTTGTCAAGACCACCAAATCTTTTTTCACAGTACGACAGCTGATCCAAGGTTTCGAACGCACACCACACAGTGGTGATTCGGCGCCCACCTTCTCGGCCTGCACGACGGTGCGCGGAAACCCATCGAGGAGGAATCCATTGCGGCACTCTGGGGCGTCGAGGCTCTTGCTGACCAGGCGTACCACTACGTCGTCGCTCACCAGAGCCCCACTCTCCATGGTCGCCTTGAGCTCCTGGCCCAGGGCAGAGCCTGAGCGGACCTCGCTCCGCAGAAGGTCCCCTGGGTGGAAGGACGCCGCGCTTAAAGGGAAGCTGAAGAGGTTCTGTATTTGAGTAAAACCACTCAAATAGTCTTCATTGGGACTCCAGGATCATGAATATTGAGATTACTTTTCAGTTTGATGCACGGAGGCTGCAGAAAATCATTTTCAAAGTACTGCCGAGGCCCCTCCTTCCTGAAGCGTAACGTCATGAAACGAGTTTTCGGAATCTCTGCTCTTGCGCATCTTCAGCACCTATCAGAGCTCTGAACGCGCACTCTTGCCATTTTCAAAAAGGTCAGAAAAACACGACTGGTGTCGGTGCAGGGAAATATACCTGGCAAGGTTACAATCGCACCACACGCTCGCATGTCGCTTGAGTGCTGCCCACACGAGCGACGCGCGTTTGGCGGCCGAAAGATTCGTTAATGATGTAACGACTGGTCGGAGGTTTTTCGTGATTTCTGGCATTTAGTGACACCTTCGGAGAAAACAAAAGTGATATTCAGATTTACGAAATAAAAATACTCTAAAATTCTCGTCTACCTCGTTTTTCAAGAACCTCTTCAGCTTCTCTTTAAACCTATGACAATTGCGTTTCTGTCTCAAAAGATGTTTTTAAGTGATCGGGCATTGCTTCCAAAGACCAAGTGTAGACAAAAAATTGTCTATACTCCTTTCACCCCTAAGCTGAGACTGCAGAGGAAGCCATGAGTGCTTTAGACCAGTCATACATTAATCCTTCGTCACATGATCATACTCTCGTCCACATCCTCGCGTGGAGAGCTCGGTCAGGCATTAAAAGGGAGGCAGTTGGTTGGTCTGGCGAGAGTGTGGCTCCCACCACAGTTTAAGTTTAGGAGTGAACAGAGTATAGACCAGTGTCCAAAATCCTAGCCTCCAGCATTAAAAGTGGGAAACGATAATCTCAAGCACAGGCTCTTGTGAAGAGAGGGGCTGCACATAAAACATGACTTTTGCTTTTTACAGAACTCTTGGCATAGGGGTTGTTCTTGGAGCTTCATGACTATGCATTTCTGATGTTCTTGCACTACAATATATGTGAAGGTTTCTAAAGAAGTGGAGTCTCACAAAAAGTGCAGCCTCCCCTGCATTATGGCGTCAGCTTAAACAAACATGGTTGTGCCTATGGATCAGAGCAGACGCTTGTCTATAGGAGCTATCAAAAAGTGTGCACAACATAGCAGACAAGCTTTCCAGACATTCCTAAGATAACAAACAACAAAGAACTGGGAGATTCTACAACTCGGCCGAGGTGTCATTGCCGGCGCCTGATAACGACGCTTTGTTCCTCCCCGCTCTTCCAGGGAAACAAAAGCCAATGATAAAGTAAAACTTGAGGGCCGATCCCCTGGCTTTTTAGAGTTTTCACTTTCTAATTTCAGAGAAACAAAGGCGGTAAACTATTAAAGGAGCTGTGCAACGATATTCACTTGGAATGTTTTCCTCTCTACATGAGCTTACTGGCAAACCTGGGACTCAAGGATACTCATACGCAACGCCACTGGCCAAGAAACTCCTTTGTTGCGGTGTAATTTCAAGGACAAAAGCGATCATTTTCATTCAATCTCTCCTTTGCAAAATTTGATGACGTAACTCGGGGATCGCAGTACACCCAAGTGACGATATTTGAATGCGATTCATAGATTGGACCCGAGCATTGCGTGGGCACTCGACTTGGGCTCGTGACAATTGCTAGCTCAAGAAGCATTCGGGTTGTGACCCGTGTCCAATCGCTGCAACGACGACAACAGCCGAGCCATAACAATGTCTGGAACTCAGCGCGTGTCCTCCGCTTTGCCAACCCCAGCGCGTGGCTATGATCAACACTGGCGGCATATAATCGGCTCCAGATCACATGGCCGCTTGTTCTGGCTGCGAGTTGAGGGGGTAAACGCTGCCCGTTTTTCTTTAATTTTTTTCTGGGACTTCTATTGCGTGGGGTGAAAAACGAACGCGTGTTTCATAGGTCATTAACATTAGGGATCCGTTTTAAGCGGTATTTGCGCAAAGTACAAAAATTGTTGCATTGCTCCTTTAAAATAGTAAGACCGTGCCACCAGGGGCAGTGACCTTCTTTTAGCTCGAAAAGAACAGAAATCCTGTTTTTATTTCTAGAGCTTTTATTTTTAGTTGTGCAACACCCAATGAAGTAAAAGAGCTACAGGCACACCGAAAAGTTACGTCTGGGACCTCAGAACACACATGACAAAGTAAAAAAAACCCGTTCTCTAATGTCGCTAATCTTTGCAAGGTCGTGGTCAAATTCTCCCAACAATATTCCAGATTAGCACTGACGATAGGCACTTGGCAGGAGTTGCCAAGACTCACTGTGATGTTCTCGAATGAGTTTTGTCTGCTAGCTTCTAACCTAACCTATCCAGAACAGCTTAGCAAGTGCTACTGAATCAGCAAGACGCAAGAAAAACGTAGACAAACTGTCCTCCATCCGAAAGACTAAAAAAATATTGGCTAAAAGCAACAGAATTAAAACCAAGCCGCATTCATTCCGACTTGAAGACAAAACCCAAATGTCAAGGCTCATACGAAATTCAAGCCTATGTCACTAATGCAAATGAGACACTTACCTGTGGACAGGTGGCAGACACAGTATTCTTCTTTGAGTAGAGGTGCCTGCAAGAGAAAAAGATGCAGTGGCATGACTCGACCACACATTGAAAAGCCAGCAATGAGAACCAATCAGCGTATCTCGTGATGTCGGTCCTAGGCAACCATGGAGGTAGGAAGCTTCTGGAGGCCACATGAGTCCACCAGAGGTGAAGTCAGAAGTGTGGAGGGACATGATCTCCACACCGTTGGCTTCACTTCCGGTGGCCTTCACTTCCAAGTTGAAAGTGTGGCAGAAGCTATGTGCTCGTTGGACAAGTCGCGCGTCTCTCTTTCGCCACGTGACCACGCTCCCACCTTTACCCACACGCAGAGGGTAGGGCCAGGTGATGAAAGGGAGACAACTGATTGGTTTGGCGAGCACATACCTCTAACTACACTTAGGGATGAAAGTAATATACACAAACTGCTCTCTGCAAATCCACCTGCACGTACAGACTTGTCCTCTTGGATAGTACTACATGCGATAACCCGTAGTCGATGCCACAGTGACCATGTTTTCGCTTCTTATATAATAAAGAATGGCACTTCGAAAAATGGTGCCAACATCATTATACTGCATTTCACACTAGGTCTGAGCGCGGCCGATGCTACGACCCGAAGGTCCAACCAAACGGTGCAAAAAGCGCAATGTCGTGGCGCGCTCTCTCCGCTTCATAGGACAACCCGGCAGAGGAGCACGCACAGAAAGACGGTGAATACCGGATGGTCCTGTCAACTGCAGAGGGCCACGCTCGAACTTAAGCTAAACCAAGTATACTGTTGGAGTGAAAAAAAAGTTGCTCAGCAATTGTTTCTTTTCTAGCGTCATAGAAAGCGACTAATAACCGACTCTGTTTTAAATGCCGGTGTCCTCCAAGGACAACTGCAGGCTAGACGGACGCTCTTTGCAGGGTTGAGCTTGCGCGTGCTTGCTCTAACAAAATTAACTGTCCATGAAACTGGTTTTTCATTTTCAGTTCGACTAACTACTGCTCGCACTAGACACTGCAGATTCATAAAGCATGAGACAGGCATCAGCACCAGATTTTTAAAGAAAAAAAGGTGTCCACAAGGGTCACATTTGCTCAACTTCTCAGCTACCCATTCCCTCCCCTAAGAGGAACAAACGACAAAAAGATATATCTTTGCAATGAGTAATCAGCTTAAGCCAAACTTGCCGAAGGTTGCACAAGTTTTAATGGTAGCAATAATAATAATAATTTTTATTAGTGAGAGTCAAGGTACTCTAACATACAGTGAAGAATGTGCTCTAACATACTCTAAAAATAGTTTTAAAAAAAATTATGCAAATTTTTTGTTTTTTATTTAGTGCCATCCTGATGAGGGCTGAACTCAGCCCTCCGGCAATTGAAGTCAGCCCAGTTGTCACTTTCCTTTTGTGACCATTCTACGCATATCCCAATCGTATTGATTTGTCTCGCTTTAGAAGGCTTTATATGAAATCAGCAATTAGCCAACATGATGACCAAACACAAATAGAGTCGCATAATCTATGGATGGTTTCTGTTCATGGAAGCTCTTAAAGCAACCATGGCCTGGAGCAGTCCCCTGTGGTATGGAAACATGACAATCCTTTTCGCCCTTGTGAAATTACATTATTATTATGCAATTTCAGCGACACGCTTATTGCCTATGAGGCTAATGGTCGTAGTTCACACTTTTCCCTTCTGTGCTATCTATCAAGTTCTATGGTCCCACTTTAGTGCATCTGCAAACCGAGCAAGTCTACTTAGAAAGTACACATATGTCTTATTGATCACGAGTTTAATGGTGCAAAAGGCTAGTAAGGCCATATTGATGCATCTGTATTTTGGTTGTGACATTAAACTGTAAATGCATAGCACCGCCTCTTTTTGTCCTGCTCTTTTGTGTTTCGGTTTTCGTGTGCCATTCATCCGTATTGTTTGAAGTTAAGGTACACTGTGTAGCTTGGGTGACTAGGTGTTTTGAATTACTGACAAAGGTATGAACATGTATATAAGGCGATTTTTTGTCAAACTTCAAAGCTGTGTTTGAGACTTCAGTGTTCTGTTAGTTCCGTATTATTAATGTCTCAGGTTAACCATGAATAGGTAGCAACGTCTTTGTTGTTTTGTTTTTTTGCTGCACACTTTAGTCTGTGCTATGAGTCTATGAATATGACGGCATTTTGTTTCCTATTTTAGCCTCACATTTTCGCTGGTATTGCGATCCCAATACTAGAAGGGTACCACCAAACCCAGAGAGAAAGCCCACTAGTCTTGACAGACCTGCATAAAAACTTGCCTTGAATTCATTAGTAATGCAAGGTGTACATTATCATTGTAGAGCAGTACTGGAACCAAAAGGTATACAGGCAGCTTTCACGCGGGCGGTACGCATTTCAAAGAAGGACGCGCCGCAGCAGCTCTCATTCCAATTTCACATTGACCGTCTCACCTTACTATTGCCATATTTAAATCTGGCACAGCTTTTCATTTTTCGATTGAAAAAGTTCAGGAATTAAGAATGTACCTTCGAAAATAGAGGGTCAAATGTAAAAACACAGGTAATGCAGCGCCAGCCATTACGTGAAATGCAATTCAACAAACAACAACCCAGAAACTATCAAAGCTGCAGTCTAATACCACTGCATGGTTACATTTTACTCCGGTTATCTTTTAAGTATTGTTAAATAGGAATTATTGTAATTTAGTCGTGCAACCAACAGAGTATGCAAGATAAACAAAAAAAAAAAGAACTGATTTCTCTCTTAGCGAAGTGCAGAATAACTGCACGCACATATGGCGTCCAAACATACTTCAGTTGAATGAATGCTCGGTGCACCGGTTTCTCCAGATCCGTCAAAAGGCCGGTGAGCTTTCCCTCAATTGAAACAGGAACACTAAGCCACACTGCCTCTTTTAGAGTGTTCAACTGCTGTCAAACCCCAGGCTGCTGGTGCAAGCATGGTGTTTGACCTTGCAGATCATTTGCATACGTTCTCGCACAAACAAAATCATAGGTGAAGCCATGCACCTGAGCCAGTAGCTTTGACAGCTTAAGAGTAAAGTGGAAGCTCCACCCACCTCTCTCACCTGTGGCAGAGCGAACGCTGCAGAGGAGGTTGCCTCCTTCCCAGCGTTCACTCTGCTGAAGTAGAAAAAGTGGGAGGAGTTTCCACTTTACTCTTAAAGGGGCCCTGCAATCATATTTAAGTGTCTACCTTCCACGTCTCTCGGGGTTCAGGCAAGCGAGCGGGCACGGAGAGAGTAACTAAATATCAGTGAGTCATATTTTAACCGGACGATGCGGAAACCTTCTCCACCTACGAGGGCGACCCGCGTTGCCGAAAGCGCGCAAATATGTGACGTCTTTAGTCCCGGGCTTACTACTGGTCAGAGCCGCTAAAAGCTTTTGTTTAGTCGATACAAAATATAAGTGTCGCGAACCGTTTCAATTATGTATGAAAAAGAGTTTTTGTTCAGTATTTTAGAGTAGAAAAGAAACAAATGCAGTTCATAATGTACGGAAACAAGAAAAGACCTGTCGACAAACCCGCCACCAAGGGGCGGAAAAAACGGCGCATGCTAGAAAGGGCTAGTGAGATGAGGCTCCAACGAACGACGAGCGTAGAAAGGTCCCGGATGTACGCGGCGGCGTCGCGGTCGTATACGGGCTCGAGGATCCGACCGGTTCCGAACGTCCCGAAGGCGTTTGGCGCGGGCTTGGCTGGCCATTTGGCGGTGTGGCAGTGCGAAGTGGCTCCCGTTCTGAACTGATCTTGACGCCGTGTTTGCTGTCGATTGTGGACAATGAAGTGCTATGCCGAATTAGTCTTTAATCGCGCAGCAAATGCAATGCAAGCCACCCTGGCCGACCGCTTCATACAGCCTATCCAACACATGCTTTGGTGGCGCCCTCTCGAGCCGTCGACACGGAGTGCAGCAGCCGTGAGCGCTCAATGAGCTCACTACTACTCCTCTAGTTGACGGCCACTCAAGCCAGGATCTACTACGTCATGAGGGAGGTTATTTTCTGCTTGTTTTTGTAATTCTAATTTGCTTACAACTTTTAAAATAAAGCAAAATTTGAAAAAAGGAAAAGTTTCTTTAAGTTACTACGTTCAGTGCGCTCAGGTTCGGTGCAAATTAAAAACCAGTCAAAAAGTTGTTGCAGGGCCCCTTTAAGCTGTCAAAGTTACTGGAAGTATGAAACAAAGTGTAGCATATAGTTTCGTTTTCTAGCAATATAAAACTAAGCTGCTCTGGGAATACAAAAATGGTATCACATGGGCGGTGTAAAGAGGGAAATTTTTCAAATTCCGCGGACGATGGTGGTGACAGTGATGGCGAAGTTGACTTCCTGTTTTGCTCGTTGAGTGATGGAGATGACAGCGATCTTGACTTGTTACTGCTTTTTCAAAGAAATTATTTCAATGTTTAAGACTTTCCACTGGGCAATGAATTATGACCAATAATGTCCTATAAAATTCATTACATTGAAAAAAGGTGTTCTGAATTATATTTCTGATGTATTTATACCGCATTTTAAAACTAGAGATAAATTAAGCCAATTTGGTGCGATATTTCTAGAAAGGTTTAATGAGAACCGGCTGTCGTCGCTTTTCCTTGCACTGTGAAGGTCGTGAATGACGCCGAATATTCGAATATCAGAGCACTGAGTGAGCACTGATACGACAAAGCATTAATCAAATAAAACAGCAAAAAAAATATATGTATGTATATATATATATATATACATTGCTTTTTCTTTTTTTTTTTTTTTTTTCTTTTATAGGTTGTTTTGATGTTTTTGCGACGAACAGGTTGTGCCGCTCACCTGAGTTCCTTTGCCCGAGCCCGGCGGTCCGAGGAGTACGGCGTTGATTCCTTTCCGGCTCCGGGCTTCGTTGGGCACGTAGTCACCCGCGTACAAGTGTTCGGACTCTTTGGGCTTCAGCAGGGGCGCCATTCCGGCTAGCTGACCTGAGACTGGCGAAGCGGACGGCGAGCAAGGTCAGGACGCGGTCAAGAACCACGGGAACCGCAACGCCCGCGAAACAGCCACTCCGCCGGTTCCACGCGACACGCGAAAAGGATTGGAGAAGAGATCAGTGATGTGACCTAGGATTGGATTGGATCTGGATGGAGACGGATGTTGTACAAAGCCCTTGTACAAAGTGTAAAAAGCATAAAACTGGCATTACAAAAATTTCACTCATAAGTAAACATAAAAAATAATATAACTGCTACATAAAGTATAGTTTGATTTAAATTGATCAATAAGGACAGTTGCTAAAGGGCCACCTGACTCTCCAAACCTGCTCCAAACTCTACCGACTCTACTGACTCTACGGTCACGTGACGCAAGAGCGGGCGCACATGGTGAGCTGTCGTGTTTCGTGGTGAGCTGATGAATTCTTGTTAAATCTACTAAAACAGACTTTAAGTTCGTACAGTACCAGTGTATCGTTTATTATTTCGGTGCTCCCGTGCCACAATGAAGCAAAAATCAGTTGTAATTCGGGCGAAATCTGACTGGAAGGCCGTCGACGTCGACTCGTCCACCTTCGATGGGCCCGAGTGGGAAGGTTTTTCGGGCTTGGAAGAACTCTCCAGCTATGACATCGTGCGACAGGGGGAACCGCAGGCCTCTGCCAAGCGTGCGGGTGGCGCAGAGCAAACAGTGACCAAGAAAAAGAAAAAACGAAAAGCAGACAAACAAAAACGCAGTGAGCCCAAGACCGCCGCCGATCACCAAAGCAATGACGAGATTCCGGTTCAAGAACAGGACGAGAAGGACATGTCGGCGTGGCTCAACTGTTACGTGCCGGAACCCGTGTTGAAGGCGCTGGCGGAACTCAACTTCACGCAGCCGACCCCGATCCAGGCGCAGACGCTGCCATCCGCGATCCGCGACCACATGGACGTGATGGGTGCAGCCGAGACTGGGAGCGGCAAGACCTTAGCCTTCGGCATCCCAATCCTCCATCATATCGCGGAGCAGAAGGCCCGCATCGGTGACGGCCCAATGTCCCTCCAGGCGCTCGTGCTGACGCCGACCCGAGAGCTGGCCATCCAGGTCAAGCAACATCTGCAATCCGCCGCCAAGTACACGGGCATCGGCGTCGTCAACGTCATCGGCGGGCTGTCCGCAGACAAGCAGCTGCGGCTGCTCAAGCGCCGGCCCGAGATAGTTGTGGCCACCCCCGGCCGCCTGTGGGAGCTGGTCGACCAGAACACCCCGCACCTGTCCGACGTGAGTAACGTGCGCTACCTGGTGATCGACGAGGCGGACCGGATGGTCGAGAAGGGACACTTTGAAGACCTCACCCGACTCCTGGCCCTCATGAACGCCGACAGGGTGGACGGTGCCAAGCGCCGCCAGAACTTCGTCTTCTCCGCCACCCTGACCATGGTTCATGACCTACCGCAGCGACTGAAGCACAAGGCGAGGAAGCGCAAGCTTTCCGAGAAGGACAAGCTCGAGCAGTTGATGCGCATCATCGGGGTCAGCGCCAAGCCCAAGGTGGTAGACCTGACCCGCAAGCTCGGCACTGCGGAGTCTCTGCGGGAGTCTCGTATCGTCTGCTCCTCGATAGAAGACAAGGACAGCCGGCTGTACTACTTCCTGCTGGCCCACCCTGGCAGAACACTAGTCTTCTGCAACAGTATTGACAGCGTCCGTCGGCTTGTGTCTGTTCTTGATTTGCTTCAGTGCAGTCCGCTTCCGCTACACGCACAGATGCAGCAGAGACAACGGCTCAAGAACCTCGACCGTTTCCGCAGCAGTCCGACGGGACTCTTACTGGCGACGGACGTTGCTGCAAGAGGTCTGGACATCGAGGGCATAGAGCACGTCATTCACTTCCAAGTGCCGCGGACCGCGGAGGTCTACGTGCACCGCAGCGGTCGGACAGCACGTGCCGCCAGCGACGGACTCAGCGTGATGCTCATGGAGCCACGGGAGCTGCCGGTATACCGCAAGATCTGCAGGACCCTCGGCAGGGAAGAGGACCTCCCAGACTTTCCGGTGGACTCGGATGTCCTCAAGGCTGTCCTGGACCGTGTGAGCCTCGCGAGGAGGTTTGAGGCCGAGAGTCACAAGGTAAAGCGGCAGACCTACGAGAACAGCTGGCTGCAGCGTGCTGCGAGAGAGATGGACATCGACTTGGACAAAAGGATGCTCGCGGACACAGACGAGAAGAAGACTGCCGACCAGAAGAGGAGGCTGAGGGCCATGCAGGCACAGCTTACGCAGGCTCTCAGGAGGCCCATTTTTCCGGCTGGGTTCTCTGGCAGGTACCTGACAAAGCAGGGAGAGTTACTTCTACCCAAACTAAGCGAAGAACGCAAGGCACTGAAGGCCATCGACAAGAAAGGTCTGCTGAAGAAGCGCCGGATTGCCAGGCTGCCGTTAGATAAAGCAGTATCCAAGCCCCTGTCATTGGCTAGGCCAAAGGTTAAAGGAAAGCTTGGCTCCAAGAAAAAGAAGGACCGCTCAGTTCGTAAGAACAAGAAGTAGTCGTTGCCGTGCCAGTGACCGGTTTGATTGTGACTGCGTAATGCAGCACGCCACACCTGGCATGCCTCATTCTGTTTTTTCTTTGTGTGGATCCTGGAGCTTGAGATCATTTAAAGGAAAACACTGCAGTTTCATCTGCACCTGGCACGTGCTAGTCGCATGTAATCGGAGCATCTGCACTAGGCCTGCTCTTGGCAGTTTTCAGCATCTTGTGTGCGTGTCATTTAGTACCAGGTTCATTCCCTTCGGTGTTCTATGTTCAGCTGAACCGTTGGTGTGCCCAAGTAAATCCGAGGCAGCAACGCACGATTTTCGTTGCCTTGGGGGGCCATACCTTCGACATGTGTATAGACTTCAACTTGGGTGTTTCTGGAGCCTGCACACTCGCTTGCCATTATTTTATATGCAGTGATGGTTGATGTGTCATTTGCACCATGAACGAGTCTGCTGCATCTTGCGACAAAGCTCCATTTTTGCTAAAAAAATTGTGCCGCACCTGCGCCAACGTAAACTTAAAGCAAAAATAAAAATATTTTATTATTGGTTGATTCTAATAATCAAAGTAGAAGGCAACGAAAATGGTACCAATGCGTGTTTCACGGCATCTACCCTACCCATCGTATAGTTTGTTTTATCTTAGGTTGGAGTGCAGTCGAAGGCTCAAACATATCGCAGACATACTAAAAGCGCAAGTCTAGGGACTGCGCTTGGTTGGTTTAGCCAGTGAAAGAGAACGCACAGGTAGATGACAAATTCCATAATGTTGCTCTTTTGATGCCGTTTGATTGGTCCCTTTGGCTCATAGCATTGCCTGTGCTTTGACTTAAGACGAAACAAAGTGTTGATTGCTCGTCAACCGTGCTGGCCCGGTAATTTTCTGAATTTCCAGACGATGTCGGGAGCTAAGAGTCGCAAGAAAAGTGTGCAAAACAGTGGGATAGTGGCCACTGTAACAAGACAGAACTGATGTCTTTTGCATCTGATAATATCTCTTGATTATTATATGTGCGACATGCCTCCATATCGTGGCTACATGCGTACCGTGGCACTTGCACCCCCTCCTTCAATATCCACGGTCTCGCACCAGTACGCGTGTGTCGAGCGTTGCTGCTTTGCACCGAGTACTAGGAGCAGTGGCCGACGCGGGGAGTGTTTGGGTTAGAGCGATTGGCTCAGAAATTGTGCTCGGTACTCTTGCAGGACGACCTTCTTTGATCTTGACTGTAGGTTGTCCTCCAATTTTAAAAAGCTGTGCTGAGAAAGGGGGAAAAAACATGGGTTTATATTTGAAGAAGTATGTTAGTCAATGCAGTTCCAGCGCAGCAATCAATCGAAAGGGCGGTGAATTCCAACTTGGCGGTTCAAACACCGCTAAGCCGCAGTGTGACTTCTCAAGCACTGGCAAGAGTAGGTTTTCATAATATTTGCGGGTGCTTGTTTTGGCAGTTTATGAAATTTGAATCTCAAGTTCGGTGCTCATAAACCAAGGGGGGGGGGGGGGGGGGGGGAATTTCTATTGATTACATTTTAGCAGGGTTCCAGAGGGCAGAGATTGGGGAAGCATTGGAGAAGTCACCGATACACATCCTATCTCTTTTGCGGCCACCCGGTTGAGTCCCTTTCCCGAAAGCGGGAAACCAAGAGGCAAAACCCTCTCGCCTGTCTGCAGTGATCCGCGTTTGAGCGGGGGAACAGAAAGAGGTACCCCCGAGAGAGAGTGAGGGGTGGGCCCTCCAAGACGGTGCCCACCACTTCACGAACAGGTCGGGGCTCACGGCGAAAGAGGTCGAGCGTTCCGACCTGCGGCCGTTATCACAGCCATCGGGGAAGGGAGACCACAGGAATCCCCACATCCCCCCCTCCTCAAAACGGTAGGTGGGTCTCGATAAAGAATAAAGGAGGCCCACCTGCTCTCAAAAAATAAAACTATGATCTCTATGCGCACCCCCAACAAATGCATGCGACACCCAGCGCACGTCTTCACAGTGTCCGCCGTCAACAGCTCGAGCACAGGCCAAAGAAAAGGAAAGTTCTCCCAAACACTTGACAGTCGCCGCCACAGCCCCGCAGAGCATCACAGGCACCGTGCTGATGCAGCTGGGTCCTGGTGTCGCGGTACGAGCTGGCTGCGGTGGAGGGCGGTGAGGCGGTCGTGAAGGCGGCAGCACCAGAAAGGCCGACTACCACCGCCCACCAGCAGAGACCAGCTGGGGAAGTCCCAAAGATATGCCGCTCTGGGGGTCGGCGCCATCTCGGCCACAGTGTGTTGGTGAAGGGGGTGGACGATTTCGGAGAAGACCTGCGAAGTCGTAATGCCAGCAGACAACCGAAGCCGGCCGCAGCTCTCCCCAAAGGGAAAAGGGGCGCCGTAGCCTCCAACCGAGGGGGGCACGCGCAACCGACGCTCGTCTGCCGGGCCGCAAAGGCGGCAAAATGGGCAGGAGCAAACAGACAAAACCGCAAAAAAGGCGGCCAGTTTGTCAACGGTGACAGAAAGGCGCTCCATTGGGAAACAGACCCAACGAACGGCCACAGGACACATTCCAGAGTGACCCACTTCAACACCGGAAGGAGAAGCCATAAAAGGGGGCCCCTCCATTCGAAACGCGTCTACATACCAAGCAAACTAATTCAGTTAGCTTAATGCGGACACGGGGGGAGAGCGTCTAGGAAAAACGCCGAGTTCTCAATCTATTGCTCAAGCAGCTAACACAGGGGCTGCCTACAATACCCGGTTTTATAGTTGCCAGAAAAGTCCATTGACTGCAAGTAGCCAAAAGCAGATAACAGTCTGCACCTGGCCAGTCTCCTGAAGTTGAGGTAAATGGATACGGGGACTTCAAAGGGGTAGATAGAAGCAAACCGCCATGGATGCATGTCTGAGCGGGGAAAACGCAAGTTCGTGCGCAAAATAGCCGCCATCTTGCTCTCCAAGGAGGAAGACAAAAGGGGCCGCAAGCCACACGCTCAAACCTGCTAGCTTCGCCAAATATTTGAGCTAGCTAACTTACCAAGGCTAGAAAAACGTGTCTTGCACTCAATACGGCTCGATCAAGGGCTCACAACGGCGTGGACCCTTCTTTTGAGGCATGCCAAGTTTCAGAGCAACATAACTGCTGAGAGTCTTAGAGTCACTCTTCCACCTGAATCACGCAAGTCTGACAGATATCGCCAGAGGGTGCTCCGACTACATGTCGCCCAGGTTTCGGAGCAACATAGCCTCCGGAATCCTTAGAATCACTCGTTCACCCAGATACTGTCACAGTGCGCCTCAGACCACGTAGCGCCACCACCATGATTGCAAAACTAGTGTCGTTCTTGGAAAACAACAACAGGCTGCAGGGGTACGTTGGCATCAAGCAGATACAAATCTTTCCCGAAGAAAACCCTCCGCACCCACTGCATTACCAGCAGTGAATACAGCGCGCGCGTCAACAGTGTGCAAACTGCTTTTTGACACCGACGGTTACGCGGCCCGGATCCCGGAGTCCGTCAGTAGCAGTACCAGCTACCTATTGACGTTATTGGCAGGCGTACCATCCGACTCTCCGCGACTACTCGGAGTCAAAGAAAAACGTGCAGATTTAATTCCCAGACTGCACTGCTGATCCTTCGCTGCTCTTTTCTGCCAAGCCTCGCTCCCCACCAAACATCCACCCGGTTCTCAAAAAACATTATTAATACTTCTATATATATTTTCCCTTCAGGACAAGTTGTTGGTGGCACGCTAGGAACCCAAATACACAAAGGTGAATGGTTCGCCTCAAGCATGGAGAACAAATGGTCTCCCACAACAACGAATGTTGCTCGACGCACGCCAATTCAAAACAGGAACACGCATACGAATCACACTGTGCTCGCTCAAAGGAGTGGCATTGCGGGTTACCGACTCAGTATTAGTCACTCAACTATAAGTGCAAGATCAGGACGCTCGTGGTACGGGGCAATCAAAGAAATAAGGCCGGACATGGGCCGGGACGGAGGCCAGGAGCCACGACCATGATAAAGGAAGTCGTGGCCCTACGTTGGGCGCCATTTTATGTGGGATATTGCTACCAACAGAGGTACCGATAGAGTAACCAAAGGGTTATTTCAACAGCGGCGGCAATCTCAAAGGAGCTGCCAAACCTACTAGTGCGGTCGCCACATCTCCGCGGCAATATAGACACCGTTTAGGGCTACATGACCGCGGGTCGGTTCGATCAATTACCTCCGTCGGTGCCAATGATCGTCTACCTAGTCTCCCTCGAATATAGCGGAAGAGAAGACACACGTACCAGAGTAGGGACAGAGTCCAAGAGCATTTATTAAAACACTCTTCTAAAAGAACTACAATGTCCCACTCCAAAATGCCCCCCGCGCCGGCATGGTAAAAAAAGGTCCTTATCTGCCAAACGCGGGGTTCAGGAGAGCCGAGATCAGGGAAGCACCGGAGAAGTTGCCGACACACGTCGTATCTCTTTCATTATCACCGGATGAGTCCCTTCCCCGAAGGCAGGAAAACAAGAGGCGAAACCTCCTCGCCTGTCAGCAGTGATCCGCACCCGAGCGGGGGAACAGAAAGAGGCCCCCCGAGAGAGAGTGAGGGGTGGGCCCTCCAAGACAGGGGACCCACCGCTTCACGAACAGGTCGGAGCTCACGGTGAAAGAGGCCGAGCGTTCCGACCCGCGGCCGTTATCACACCACAGCCATCGGGGAAGGGAGACCACAGGAATCCCCACACAGTATCAAAGAGGAACCTCAATCATTATCAGACAAAAACTCATTTAGCGATGCAATCACATTTTCATTCACAGGTGGCGGACTAACAGATGTCGGCGTCTGCTCCAAAAATGTCAGTGGCTGCTCCAAGCTAATATTAAGGCGAAAGCCTTATGTCTCATCGTTCAGTCGACCTTCAATGTCCTTAAGCGAAAACATGCCGGCGACATGAGAGGTACGAAATCGTTTACATGACCACTCCGACCAATTGGAGGCAATGAAATCAAGAAGGATGACAAAGCGAATTAAGAGGAATGAAAGTGAATTGAGAACTATAAAGAGAATTAAGAGGAATTTAAGAGAAAGAAGAGTGATCAAAGCTAATTAAAGACGATGACAAAGCGAATTAAGTGGATGACTAAGCGAATTAAGATGATTTAGCACATTGAGAAGGATGACTCAGCAAAATAAGCTGGCTAATTAGTATGAATGACAAAGCGATATAAAGAGGCCAACCACGTGGTGCCACATAAAAGTGGATGTCTAGATAAAGTTGGACGGTAAAATAGTTGCGCGGAAAATGGAACATAGACGTCGGAAGATATGCCACAGTGGACGAGTGCGCTAGAGGGAGTAAATGTGTAAAAGGGCGTCAGCGCATCCTACCAATGTGCCCAAACAGGCGCACGCCTCGTGGGGAGTCATTGCAGATGGTGCAAGCTGTTGGCGTAACAGGCTTGGGTTTTCGCCTTCAAGTCGTCTTGGGGATAACGTAAGAGACCCTGTGAATATTTTTATTTTGCCTGCTGCAACACCTGCTACGTAAGGTCCCACGCTGCTCCCATCACTTTATATGTGGGGTTCAATGTTTTCCGTGAATACTGAAAAACCCAGAGTTAGAGCTGTCCTTGATTAAAAGGAACTCAAGTTTCGCAAGAAGAGATCATCTCTAGTCTTACTTTGTATTGACTCGAAACACGTCCTGCATCGAACTGTCCAGGAGGCTGCATGTTTTTTTGGGAACCATATGCCCATTGTGCCGTTTGCTTCTCTTAAAGGCACCAGAACATTCTTCCAGCATTTGGGTCATGCACATGTTGCCCGGAGTTTGGGGAAACCCATATCCGTGTCCCGCTTTGTTCAACATAAGACCCGATAAACGCCAAAGTCATGCCCAAGGCCAACAATTTACATAGAAAAAGACAACCTACGAGACAGAATAAACCCCCAAAAAAAAGGTTTCAAGTACACTTAAGCACTTCTTATGAGTTGTGAATGCGAAAACATGCATGTCATTCTTTTGCTCCCTTATTTCGTCTGCAGCGTATTTGCGTCAACGGCAGATTGCACGCTCTCTTTGCTGCTCTGACCTTGGATGCTTTGTGTTACCGGCGAGTCGACAGAGTAGACACGAAGCGCCATGGGGTAGCGGTTGTTGAAACTGACGTGCAGCGGCCAATGAAAGCCTCTATTTTTGAAACTATGATGTGCGCCAGCCAATGGGACTGAAGCCGAAATCCATCGGCTTCTCTCCGTTCTTTTGGGGTCAGGGAAACTAGGTGCCGTTTGGCTAGGCTTTTCATGTGGTTTTAAAGCTGGGAGCCAGCTTCACTTGGAGAAAGGAGTTAAGATGCCGTTTGGCGCGGCTTCAAAGCTAATGACGTCGGCTCACTCCATGGGACCCCAGTTAATGCTCTCATTAATAAACTCTAAAAACACAGAACCAGGGATGGGCAGTATTTCAAATACAAGTATTTGGAATTCGTATTTCAAATACTTTGTGTATTTTGTATTTAGTAATTACAAATTGGGTAATGTATTTGACGTGTGTATTTAAATACTAAAACATGGGTATTTCAAATACAATTGTAATTAAATACAATTTTGTGGGCGAAAATACATCTTGTTTTTATACATGTGGTTATAAGATATAGTGTAATGAACGCCGTACTGGAGGCCCACAGGCGTCCAAGCGACCTTCCAAGAAGCCAGCAGACGGGGGAAAACGTCCAGGCATTTCTACGTTCCGGGAACACATTGGGCTCCAGGAAGCCCAAGGACATGCGTCCGCGTCGAGAAGAAAGTGCTGGTCAGCGACCTTTCAAGAGGCTTGCCAACGTGGGAAGAAGACCAGCCACTCGGCCTTCCAGGAATCCCACAGTGGCCCACGATGTCAATGCATTCTTTCCCGCACTTCCCAAGTGGACCCCCACCCGTCGGGCGCCCCGCACCCAATTACTTTCCCTTCGGAAGAGGAAGCAGCTGCAATCATGGAAGCGCGCCGCGCCGACACCGCCGACTCCTCGGGGGATAAGCGGACACGTCTTTGGGACAGCTAATCTGCATGGTGTTGATGGCGTCTTCGGGCGGAGACGGGGGTGTGTCGCTGTGGGTGGGGGAGGGGCTGACATAGCCAGACGAAATCCCTACGTGGGGAATGTAGGGAAGAGCGCCCCGTTAAAAGAAGCGGACTTCTTCGGGACTCCGGTCTTCTGATGCCGTTTTTCGACCCTGTACAAATGTAAAGTAAACCCGTTGTCAAAAGTGGCCCTGCTTCCGAGCTCCTTCTGCCTGATGTCCTGGTCGGCGCCTGGCTCCAGCGGAGCCCGACAACAAGGACGACCCCGGAGCTGTTACAATAGTCTCCATCCTTTATTCGGCCATGGGGCTTTTTTTTTTCTCCTCCGGCTTTATTTTAAAGGCACTGTCCAGAGCAGGAAGAAAACTATGTCCTGCACCGAATGCAGTGTCTCTCAATTAAGCACAAGCGTTTAGTGACTTTGTGATTACGGTGCTAGTCCAGGGCGAGAATAGTGACGAAATCAACGTTCACAGACAGACTGGCTAAATAAGTGCCTGTGACAACTTGTGATGCTTTCCAGCTTGATTTCCATCCATATTTTTGCCTGGAACATTCTAAATGCGCGGGTCGTCCAGATTTTCGTAACTGGTGCGAGTTGCAACAATAAAAAATTCTCTACCAAGTGCTGCGCGTCTTGGTCGTCTCGGTTCTTTGTTGGTCTATACCAAAATGTAATCGACAAAAAAAGCTGCTTGAAGCTCTGTACTTTTTTCACCTATTACGTCTAAGCTGATTACATTTTTTTTTATTATATTTTTATTACGTTAGAGAGCCTCGCACACTAACTCCCGAGTGTGCGATGCAAAATGAAAATGAGATACCCAGAAACCCGTTGCAGGTGCCCTGAAGTCGCTGACGCAAATTTTGAGGAATGTATTTGGAAAAGTATTTGGAGGAGGCAAAATACATTTGGTTGTATTTGTATCTTGTATCTAAATGCTTTTCTGGAAATGTAATTAGATTTGTAATTAAATACATTTTTGACGAAGTATTTTGTATTTGTATTTCGACACATATTTGCATGTATTTTGCCCATCCCTGCACAGAACCTTACTTTTATGTATGGATGAAGAATACAAAGGAGTGCACCAGTTAGTCTCGACTAGGTGATAATGATTACGAGCTTCATTGCATTATGCCAAGGTACTGATAAAAAAAAAAAGAAAATGCTAGCACTTCAACTCCTTTTTTGTGTTGAGTGAAACAGCTTGCTTTATTTGTAAAACAATATTTTTACTTGGTCGCGCTGGAAATAACAGTTCCAGTAACAATTCTTTGCGAAGGGCACAATCCCTGCACGATTGCCATGCAGACGGAGGCCACAACAAAGATGCCAGTCTGTGCAGATGAGGAGAGGACTCAGATGTCGATGATGACAAAGACCTCGTGCTGGTCTGGGTTGTCCCAGACCTGCATGTTGGAGTAGGTGATGGCCTTCACTTCAGAGCCCTGCAAATGGGGCGAAAACAAAATTTTTTTTTTTTTTACTAGATTAGTTTGTGCATAAGATTTTTTTCGAAAGTCCGTCGAGCAACAATGGCAGTCTCCATTCCTTGGGCACAAAGTGTACTGGACACGAGTCCTCGTCAAGCGCTCGTGCAGCACTCTTTTTTGACGCGAGCTGAGCCAAGCTAACCCTGATGCAACCCTTTTGTACACTGCATGCTCGGTACATGGTGTCCCACAATATGAAAGACCCATTTGACAAGGCAGTATATGTGGCTGTGCTAAGTATGTGTCGGTGATGGAAGCGGCATTTGACTCTTTGTAGAACGTTCTGTAGCAGGCACAATATTGGTTCAGAGCAGCCACTGATGCTTTCGGAGCAGATGCCGGTCATCTGTTTGTTCATCACTTGAAAATGAAAAAGTGATTTCATCGCTAATTGGAACATGCAGCCTTCCTTCTAGAGATGAGGCTCAGGTTCCGTTTACAATTGGTATTTAAAACAAATTGTCGTAAAATGAAGCGTAACGCGACACATCAGTTCAGATAAAGCCTCTCCCCCTCTCCCTTTTACACTCAATAGGTTATTTAGCCTGCAAATATGATTCCTGTAAAATATCAGCATATCCGCTAAGATGTATATCGATAAAAATTGGTGCCCCCAAGTTCTCTTAACTTAGAATACTCAAGATTCCTATATCATAAACTGTGAAAACTACGCCCAATAAAGACTGAAAACCTACAGTTGAGCTTTAAAAACTAGCACTGTGCTTTAGCGGCGTTGGAACCAGAATTGAATCAAAGTTTGCTGCCCTTTCGATTGACCACTCCACTGAAACGGCCTTCACTAACATATTTATTCAAATATAGACCCGCGTTTTTTTCGCCTTTGTCGGCACAGCTTTTTAAAATTAGAGGTCAGCCTATAGTCAAGACCAAAGAAGGTCAACCTGTAATAGTAGTGAGCATCATTTTCGTGCCGATCGTGCCAATCCAGGCACTCTCCCGTTTCATCCGCTGCTCCCAGCACTCCGGTGCAAAGCGGTGAAGTTCGACAGGTGCACGCTGGTGTGGGGCAGTGAAGGTTGATGCGTGCGGCAGAAATGTCATGGTACATTGTGGCGACAGTTGTTTTAGCGACTTTTAGCTCCCGACATCGCTGACATCGTCTGCAAATTCAGACAATGACGGGGCCAGCGGGGCTGACAAGCAATCTATACTTAGATTCATTTTTAAGTCAATGCGCAGTCGACGATACCAGCCAATAGAACCGATCAAACAAAGTCAAAAGCGCGATACCGTGGCATTTGTTATCTTTCTGTGCGTGTTCTTTCGTCGGCTAAACCAATAAAGCGCAGCCAATGCCCCGTGACTCTAGCTTTTAATGTGTGTGTGTTGGGGTTGTGTGTATGAGCCTTTGACTGTACCTAAGATCAAACAAACTATATGGTGAGTAGAAAGGCTGTGGAATACGTATTTGTACCATTTTCCTTTTTTTCTACTACTCCAAATATGAGAGTTGACCAGGGTTGTAATGTACGTAGGTACAAGTAACTGGAAATCAGTATCTAGGTACTTTTGTTGTACCTGAGGTACAAACCTAGGTACTTTCATTTCTCGGTATCTGTAACTGTGTCTTAGGTACATTTTCCAGTAACTTGTAACTAAGTGAAGTTACTTTTAACAGATACTTTTTTATTCACTTCATCAAAATGGTAGAAGCTATAAATCCTGAAGTCCAGGATTTATAACTTCATCAAAATGGTAGAAGCTATAAATCCAACACACTACCATGTGCCGTGATTAATGTTGAGTTGGGTACGACCTGGGAGGCACTGACTTGATCGAACGACGTTTTAGCAAACGAAGCCCCGGCCATGATGTTTCATCGAACGACGCTTTAGCGAATGGCGGTGTTCATTTGAGCGAACGGTGGATTAGCGATGCCGTTTAATTCAAGCAACACCAATTTATTGAGTCGCTTCGGAACTACGTTTAGGGAAAATAGCGACCTGCTTCCTTCATCTCAAACCAAAATCGACTTCATTGCGTTTTTGAAGCTCCTCTGACAACTATACAAGAGAAAAGATAACTTGAAAGATGTGCACAGATTCTGTTGATTGTATCTTGTCCTGGTGGTGGCTCTCTTCTGCCATAAATACAATATAAAATATAATTGAAAATGAATTATAATTACAACCGTAAAAAAATGTAACATGGCGTATATAATACAGTTTCCACTCAATAAATCGGACTCAAATTTGGCGGTTATAAAAACGGACAAAGTTCCGAAAGAAAAAAAAAAGCTTAATTTTGTTCAAGCTAGCGAAAGAAGAAAAAAAAAACAAAAAAAAAACGAGGAAGCTTGAAGCTTTTTGCTTGATGTCGCAAAGATTAGGCTCTCGACTCGTGCGTTTCTTCATGCGGCCGACGTATTCTGGGCCCTTCGATGTCAGCGATGGCTCATGTGAACACGGTTTTCCTGATTTCTCGCATTGACACCGATAAAGCACTTTTATCGAACTCGTTTTTGTGTTTATCCTTAGTATAAAAAGCTTCACTTCCAATATATTCACGAATTTGGGGAAAATAAAGTAAGTATCTTTAAAGTAACTGTACCTCTACCTAGGTACTTTTTTAAGCGAGTACCTAGTTACGTACCTAGGTACCTTTTCGTATGAGTAACTGTAACTGTATCTTAGGTACATTTTTGAAGTAACTTTTACAACCCTGGAGTTGACCAATAATTAAATACCTATTGCTTCGTTTAAGCTCATCTCGGTGCAGGTGTGGTGCAACTCTTGGCAGGAATGGCATTTTGGTGCAAGGTGTAGCAGACTTGTTTATGGTGCAATCTGGTGCAAACAGTGCAACACTTACATTACCAACACAATGGCAAAGGGCACTTCAGTGTTTAAGGAGAACGGAACAAAATTTCGCTTGTTTCGTCATGCCAAGCAACAAAAGCCTGGTCAAAGTGAATCATGCGCAGTTGCCTGAAATGGCTTTTTCGAATGGGTCTTTCATATAGTTGGGGACTGTATGTGCCAAAGCAATGGCAGACTTGGATAATCAGTGCAGCATCTACTGCGTGCCACACACTTTCGAAAAGGGTCAATCAAGATTTGAAAACGCAGTTCACTTCCAGGTGACTGCGACCGACTAGCACACTGCACGACAAAGCGCAAAAATGACGTCGACACTTTTTTGTCGACATACTTGGAGACTGTATTGACGAGTGCAAACTTATATTACTCGGGTCTGTGCCTGAAAGTGGCACTTTACACCACACTAGTGGTTTCGATGACATCCCCTTCAATTATAAAAGGAACAAATGAAAAATTAGTGATCGCTAGTTCCCGTTAACTAGCCACGTATATGTCACCGCAGTGAGAAAATACTGGAACCGCCAATTACAATGTAATTCAATTTGTACATTTTTCGGGGGACCACGGTAAAGCAAATGTGCGATCCAGGACAATCTAACTACCGTAACGTGGCAATTTATTTCGGATGGACTTCAACGGCCGTGGAGAACTGGCACATACCAAATCCAAATATGGGCCGACTTTTTTGTTCTTGTTTGAACTGCCCTTTAATTTTGATTGCAGGCCAAGCTATAATCGTACAAGAAAAAGAATGTCGACCTAAAAGAGTGAGCACAATTTCCGAGCCCGTCGAGCTAACCCAGATACTCCCCCGCCCCCCGTGTAAGCTGTTGCTCCTGGTACACCGGTGCAAAGCAGTGAAGCTCAATGTGTGGTGCAAACTTCAAAGCGACAAAGCTCGACGAGCGCAAAGCACGATTACAAACTTTGTGAGAAGTACAGCTAGCATAACCGAAGAAAAGGTGCCGCTGAGCACGACAGAAGCACCTGTGTGCACGCAAGGGCCTGAGTCTCTTCCAAACCTATGCTCGGCACCAATACTTTTGTGCTACCTTGTCGAGGCTAGCGCAGCTTCTGCAGTGCTGCAGACCCGCACTGCTGAGAGAGCATGTTGCTTTGTCTTGCATCTCATTTGCATCCTCTCTCACGTGAACAAGACACCAAGCGAAGTCACATTTGCATAGGTAGCTTTGACAGCGTTGGAGCGCTGAAAAAGCCACACTTGACAATGTGGCACAGAAACGTTGACACTGATCATAGATCAAGCACGTGGGATCAAAGCCACCACTTCAGCTTGTATCTATAAATTGAAAAAGGAGAACTAACTTAGCAATGATTAAGTATTATGGCGCTTTTGATGCAGCCAAGAAATTAAACATTAAGACATCACAGATTAATTTGTAACTGCAGCATTACATATTCACTGAGAAAGATGAATGAAATCAAATAAAAACCAGGAGCATAAAATCGGTGGCTCTGGGAGCCACTTTGGTTGTTCTATCACCCCCTTTAACGCGACTACGCCTCAATATTGAATCAAAATCTATACACGTTTCTGGTATATTAGTGCTCATATAAGCTAACTAGTTTTATTAATGGAGATACACCTTAGGCCACCGCTTCTTTAATATTTCGAGTTCAATGTCATCGCGACGAGGCTAATGGCTGGGCGTTTATGGTAACGTCTCCATAAAAATGGAGGCCTATGTAACTGTTTTGTCAGGGGCTTTCTAGCATAGGCTGGTAAATGGTAGCTGCAGACAACACCTGCCAAGACTGAGGGGGCAGGAGTGACAGTACCAGTGCCTAAACAAGAGAGTCTGAAGGATGGGCCCACTGCCTCACCTGTGGGTGCTTGCCAAGGTCGAACACTTCCCCGTACCTGCAAGCAGAAAAAGAAAAGCAATGTGAAGGATATATGAATGAGAAAAAAGTACTCAAATATTTTGAACACCCACTATTAGAAAACAATTAGAAGACAAATTAATTTGTTTTTTGAATTTGATTCGGTGCTACAACGATTAGATTCGTATTCTAGTATTCGCTTTCAGGGGTCACCATTTGCACGTCCCTACTATCTTCCAATTTTTCAAAGCACTACGATGAATTTGAAAAGCGAACGAGGGTCAAAGGTTGGCCTACACTCTGGCCTTGATCCGAAACGCCTCCTTGTCAAACTCCAGAATCTTCACCTTCTGCAAAGATGGAGAAGAGCACACAGCTGTCGTTACGTCGTACTTGGTACAAAAAAGTGGGATGGGACGTGTCCCTACAAACGAGGTTTACAACATTCAATGGGACACAAGATAGGCTCGAGGGAAGACCGAGATCCTTTAAAATCAAACAACATTTCAGACGCAAAGAAAAGAACGCCATCTGACAAGGTGAGGAAGGCAGGCAATGTGGCGAGTTGGGCCAGTTGGTATTGAGACGACGTAATGAAAACAGCGCACAAAGGACAGGAGAGCGGGAGAGAGATACATAGAGGCTGGGAGGAGCTTCCGTTGTCCCGCCTCCGGCGCGAGCTTCCTACATTCGACAACAATTCGGCGTCTTGTGCACCTCGAGCGTGCGCATGCATTCAAAGCATGGCGAAAGGCACGACACACGTACCGGAGGCTGGGCGTTTGAAAGACACACCCTGTCGACCTCGCTCCATCAGTAGGTAACTATAAAGGTGCACGGGGCAGTTTGTGACTTCACCTTTCTGGGGTACTAGATCTCTGCCCACCAAAGACATTTAAATGCCACCACTTGTTTGCATGCTGCTTCCATATACCCCATAAAAACACGATCAAAGGCATGTGTGTTTGCTCGTTTTTGTATTGTTTATTTTTGTGCTGAGAGCCAATTGCAAAAGCTGGCACTGTCCAAACACTTCAAATCTCTTTCTTCCTCAGCCTCTTTCACTGGTCCCACTGCTCTTAGCAGGGTAACCTAGCCATCTTTGATTATCGAGCAAATCAAACATACCCTGCACAGAAACAAGTTGCGCAACATCGGGTATGCACGCGCAAGTTAAGCCAAGGAGTGAAAAGTGATTATTCCATCATAACCACAAAACCTTCGTCGATTACCAACAATTTGAGCGTCACACCGAAGCGACCAGGCTACTGAAAGAAATGCAAGGTGAAAAAGCGAGATCACAATCTGCCTCATAAAATCGATGCTCAGGAATCTCCAAAACCCGGCACGTGGACATCTTCCGACCGGCCCATGGCTGGCAGTGGTCCTTCCAATGAAGCCCACTGCTACAGGCGCAAAAATAAACAAACAAGACAAAACATGCGTAAAAAAAAAAAAGAAGAACCCCTGCATTGCAACGCACACTATCTGTGTAAACAAGAATACCAGAAAAAAAAAAAGAGAGAAAATTGTAATTATGATACGTGTCCTCTCATATTATTCATTGGACATCGTCATCACCAGCCGTCATTATCCTTAGTCCCGTTTCATATTTGGGTAATTACGTATGTTCAAATTCTCTTGCGTCGCTATGCATATTGTGCTTAGAGTACCGTGTCGTAACTATTGCATATTGTCAGCATTAGTTCTGGTATTCTCTTCAGTCTACTGCCCTGTCCGAATAGGCTAAAGTTCCTATGCGCTTTGATTTATGCCTGGTGAGTTTTTCTGAGTCCCAATTATTGTGTAATGTTATAGTAATTAGCTAAATAGTATTGGTTTTAAAAATAAAGTATACATGTATTCATTCAAATTTTTTTTTCTTTTTAAATTTTACTTTAACCTTTATTTTTGTCTTCATGTGCCTACCAAACATTATTTCTTTAGTTTTTCCTGATTTATATTTGCTTATTTATTTTCCGGCCGTCGAGGCAGTGAGATATCCCCGATCTGGCCCTTTAGCGAAAACGTTTGGACATCCCTGCTCTGCATGTTTAAAAGAGAGCTACAAGCTATTTTTCCCTGGTAATGACTGCCACTAGTAATCCATTTTCACCACAAGGATGATGACAATGTGGAATACACACCAAGGAAACAGCTTTGAACTGAACTGTGCTGGCTCCAACTGTAATTCACAGGTCTATGTGATCTATGACATGTCTAGCTTTGTCCATGGTTGCAGGCCAAAATGTATTCGTTGCTAGAACAAAATACTGTGTGTTTATGTACTTTTTCCTTAGACATGATGGTATCATCGAGTGGACAAGCTTGAAGCCTTGATTCAGAGCTCGGCAGTTAGTATAAACATATGACTGCCAGTTATCCAATTTATTTTCTTACACCTAATATCAAAATCAAATCAACTGAGAAAAGAATTCAAACTTCAATTCAACGAAGGAACAGACCAGCATTCATTGTACAGAAATAAAAATTAGCCAGCCTTTCTTCCTCTAAGAGTTCAAAAGTTTTGAAGCTAAGGCACACCCATTTCTGTTAACATTTAGAAAACTGGTGTTGCTTGGGACCGTGAAGTAGAGAGTATTCAACGCAGTCGATTTTACATTTCTGCTCACGGTGAGTGTTTAACGGTTTGCTCGTCACAGAACCTGATACAAGCTCACACGATTAACTGGCTCTAAGGCATTCCTCCCTAAACCAGTAAGTGATCATGAGAGAAAAATGAGGTGCTAAGTAACAAAAAACACGTAAACTCTCGTTTCTGTGAGCAAAGAATAGGATCATCTCATCAAAATTGCTCCGAGAAAGATCCTGAAGGATCCTGAAAGTGGTTCTTCTCTTACCCGTCCGATGAAAAAAGGCTCCGCGCTGAAGATGAAGAGCAGCTCGTCGAGGAAGTGGAACAGCAGTCCGACCATGTCGTCCGCTGCACACCACAGTTGCGCACTCAGAACACCGCCATTTATTTTTAGACACACGTAGGCTCTCGGGCAAAAACCTTCTCGTCGGTCTCTAAAAAGCAATAAAGTTGCACTTGTGTCAATGGGGTCACTTAGAGCTGCCATCTTTCCTTCTTAGGGACACTTTTATGCTGTGCCCTGTTGCGGCTTAAGAAAAACAGGGCAAGCTCCAATTGAGCAGAGCAAACGCTAGAAAGGAGGCGAGATGGGACTAGCCCCCTCCCCAGCATTTGCTCGGCTAAAATGGAAAGAGTGGAGGGCTTTGTGGGGGGAGCGCTTGGCCTGCAACAGGGCATTGGTAGCCCCCTTATAAAAAAGATAGTGCTGTGCTAGAAACACTTACTACAGGGAGAAATCACCAAAGATTTTATACAGACGTGCTAATAATGGTTCGAATCGAATGTCGCACCGTCGTCCCTAGCTTCGACACTGTTAAGAAAACCAGTTGTCGTGGCTTTCTCTTACGCCGCGAAGGTCATGAATGACACAACATTATTCATTTCGAGCCACTATTCGCACACCCGTAACTTTTTACCAGCACTTATCATATGAAGGTTAAGGTTTCAAAGCAATGTTGAGGCAAAAATTGATGGGAAAGAGTGAGCTTTTAAAAGACAACTTCTGTACGAGTACAAATGTGGCTTCATGAGGGCCATGAAATTGAGAAAAAGTAAGTGAGAACATGTGTGTGCATTTTTGAGCTTGAGTGCATGAACTTGAACGAGTTTGAGCGAGCGAGATCATGCGAGATCACGAGGGTGTGCAAGTTTAGGGTTTGTTTCTAATCATCAGTTTGAGGATAAAAGAAAAGGTAAATTTTTGATTCTGAGCTGGTTGCAAGGTTGAGTGGGTTCAATGTAAAATGCCAACCTCTGCCCCAGTTGGAAAGAGAGACACTCGTTGACCATGCAACGAATGGCAGGGATGTCAGCATACTTATTTTTTTACGAAAGACTCGAGTTGTACTGCTGCAGCTCGTGGAAGGTACCTCAATGTGGTAAAGTTGAACATCAATTTAACGGAACCTGATTTTACGAATTTCCCGATTTAAGGCAAAAATTCGGATTCCCCGCACAGCCTATGCCCGAAAAATGTCTTTCTCAATTTTACGTAGTTCCCGATTTAACAAAAGAATTAGCGGGTCCCGGTGACTTCGTTAAATCGAGGTTCAATTGTAGTAATCTGAAGGGCAACTTGCGCTGCCAAGCCAAGTCCGTGAGAATGAACACACCTTCCGCGTCGATATCTTGTGTCATCCGAATGTCCACCTTGTCGATCTCGGTCATGTAGCCAAACATGGCAACTGCAGCCTAGAACAGGGAATGTTTGGAGACATTGGCCCAGGTCGCTTCAACTTCATCCAGACTAATCCCTTGAACAAGGTATACATTCTAGAGGACGCGACGACACTGTCAAGTCACGAAGACTGCTCAGGTACAGCTGTGTGTCATTAATACAGACACCTCCATTCCCTTAAAAATCGTCTGTAATGAGAGTTTTACATAATAACACAAAAATGCATCCATTCACCTACTTCATCCCTGAAAACGTTGCCTACAAAGGGGTGTTCAAATTAGCGGGGTCCATACAAACAAGACACGACTAGCAAAGCAGTCTGTTGCTACGAAAAGGACAAGTCATACTGTTTCAATCAATGCTTGTTCAATGTGGTGTGCAACTGCCTCCAACTGTGGCAAGTTGTGTCTCCTATAGTGCATCACGGCAGCACATGAAGCAGAGTATGGCTGTGTTCCAAATTTTACCCAAATGAACCCGAGTTACTCCGGCGGGTTGTGTCACGTGACAACACAAATTGAAGAATGCTGGACGCGGGTAGTTTTTGGAACGCCAAGGTGCAAAACTTTTGCCCTGGAGTAAGATCGAGTAAATTTTGGAACACGGCCTATATCTGGTGGCACAACACCACATGAACTTACGAAAAACTACAAATGGCACATAAAAAGTCCAATTTGGGGGTTTTACGTGCCAAACCAACGACGGGCATCTGGCACGCCCCAGCGGAGGACTGAGGATTAATTTGGACCACCTGGGGATCTTTCGACGTGCAACCGAAAGCTCGGTTACACGGCGCCTTCTCTGCAATAGGCCTCCGTCAGATTGCGGGCACCTTGGCCGGGATTCGAACCCGCCACATGGGGATCCGTAGGCCAGCGCTCTCGCCTCGGAGCCACCGAGGCGGCTACAAATGGCACATAGATGTCAGAAGATCACACTTGCACACGGCTTAATCAGAGGCGAGTTTGTGAATGTCATACATATTAAAAGCCTGATATCAGAAAGGGTCAGCACAATGATTTTTTGCCTATATAAGTTTTAGGATTGGCACTTTTCTTCTTTTTATTGGAGGGGCTGGTGCAACTTAGGCAACACTTATAGTGCGCCTCTCACTCCACTGCTTTCCTGCGATGAACCTGCAGATCTATCTGTATGTGCCTTTTGAAGGGAACAAGCAGATAGGTCTATCATTAATAAAGGCAAATTTGTATCAATCTATGCTAATCAATTATGCATATAGTTTGCACCCTGAATTATATGTCCCAGTTGTCACACCCCAATTTGGTGTAAGAGAGCAGAATTAGAGAAGCTAGTGCTATCTTAAAAGTGTACTTAGCTTGATTTAGAGGCACTAATCAATAAGTACTGTAAACCCCTATTTCTGGAAGTAACCTTAATCCTTGTGAATTATGCAGACAAACAAAGTCCGAGAAAGGTGGCCGCACAGGTAAATCACTCTTTGACAGTGAATACCAGGTCTGGAGAACCTGAGTCAGATTGTGGAATGTAACCCTGACAAAAGAATTGGAATGCTGAAATTTTCAAACATTTAATGAAATATTAAACCCGACAAACAGGGCCATCTGCAGTAGAGAAAAAAAACCCAATGTGGGAGTTCTTTAAATCGTTCTTAAATTAAAAAGAAATACCACGTTAAAATTTCAGAGTTCAGGGCAAGCTCCTCCCACCTCTTTCTAGCAGAGTAAATGCTGGAGAGGAGGCAAACTCCTCTCCAGAATTTGCTCTGCTAGAAAAAGGTGCAAGGAGTTTCCCTGAACTCTTACACCGACCATAGAGCTACAAGGTTAGCCCAACACCAAAAGAGGTCAGAATAACTTTGGCGCCCCCCTGCATGACTCACCTGCTCAAAGGCTTCGGTCAGGTCGTCCCCCCCTAATGCCACGAGTCAAGGAACAAGCCGAAAAACAGTTTTTTTTAAGAAGGGAGAACACTTTTTTTAAAGAAATCTGCAGCTTTTTTTTCTTGTGTCAGACAAGTTTCACTGTAAGACCATTATAATATCCTGAGAGATAGCCCACCCGAAATTGAGAGAAAGTCAGGTGAGAATAAGGAGTGGGCTAACATTCCATATATAATAAAAAAAAGTTGAAAAAAAAATCAACACTATTTTTAGTCGTGTTTTTCTGTCAAACTTGTTATAGCGGCGAGGGACAATGAAGCAAAGATGACTGTGCTTCCCAATCAGCAATGTATGCTTACATCTCGCTATAGCTACCCAGCCACATTTATGCCAAGGTCATCATTGATCCGAACAGTACAATTACAACGCGTGGACTATCTTTCGGTGCTTAAAAGAAAATAGCAAATGAAGCGGAAAATGAGGGTGGGTTACCTTCTGGGGGTTGGACATCTGTCGGGATATAACGGTAATTTTAGATTTTCAGAGAACGGCAGTCAACTACCATTTTAAGAAAATTTGCTACGACAAGCCTCAGTAAACCACTTAGGGTAGTCCAGAAAAAAAAAGGTGTGGAGAGAAATGAATTTTTTTTTGCCCTGAACTTTTATTTTTGCAGAAAAACAGTCTTTTGCTTTGGAAATTTCGAAGATACATACGGTGAGACAGCCAGAACATTTCAAAAGCAGCGTGGCATTTGGAAACTAGAGCTAAGAAAAATTCTGCATGCGAAATCTGGCTCGAACATTTGTGTCAGTCACGTTTGTAGCAACCGAAACGACATCTAGGACAAATTCACCGGGACAAGTCTCTCCCGTACACAACATGGTAAGCGATGCAAGAGATAGTCACGATTGTTCCGGTGTTTCGGTGGTATCTGCCGTTTTCGCAGTTTTGATCACAACCGTTGCCAATGTGTGAGTTAGTCTTGAGGATGATGCGAGTGATAATTACACAAATCAGTGAATTTCTGGCCTACCCTAAGCTGCAAACAAACATCCTTCAATAAACCCGAAAAATACAGACACTTTAAGTGTAAGGAAACCACCCTCTCAGAAGAAGAGTGATAAAGTTATGCTGTAGAAAGTTCACAACAGCATCATGTTTTTATGAACTTAAAGACTCGCATGCTAAAAACTTCCAACCACCTCCCGTGTAATTTTTCAGACATGTGCTCAAAACAATGCCTTACCTTCCTATGCATAAATTGCAGTTTTTTTGTTTTCTTTTTAAATTTCCATCAATGTGCATTATACAACTGCCTGTATGCATTTTTTCCCTTCTAGTATGGACCTTTGCTGTGCAAATCTGTCACAATGGTTATATTTCTCGTTTGGTTCGTTGACGAGAATGTTGAAACTGGTTCCCGCTTGTGCATATATGCTTATGTATATGCCCATATGTATATGCATGTATGTGGGTCGTTCTACCGAAAATTAAACATTATTGTGAATACCAAGTAACTTTCAAATGCCTTCCTCCAATAATTCCTGAAATAGTTTGCATAGCATAGCACCAGGGTGTCCTAAAAGCAAATATTTGCAAGTTCTCATAATTAAGACTATACTATTCTAGAAAAAAAGGGGTTAAGATTGCGTCCCAAGAGTAATTTCTGCATTTGTTTTGTGTCTGCAAACTACCACACATGTTTCAAAGGCGTAAACTTCTGTTTTAGCGAAGTAAACTTTTATAACTTTGATTTAAAAAAGTCATAAATTTGTGTCAGCTCTAATTTATGATATGATATAAAAATCCGGTGCTGCTAAAGCGTTTAAATTTTATGAACTTTAAAAAGAAACAAGTGTTATTGACCTGAATGTCAGTGGTATAACGAAAGATATACAAATTTATTTAAAAACTTATGCCAACCATACTCAATTTGGAAGTATGCAGATGGGTTAACACATTTTCAGGAAAGTCTTACAAGAGCCGTTCACCCTGGGCCAAGATCTAAAATTTTATTAGCTAATATAACGATATAAATGAACGGTTTCACAAAATGAGTATATGTACACATATGCATATCATATATACACACCTACACGTACATACATGGGCAATTCACCCAAAGATTAAACATTTAGGTTAATAAAAAGTAACGTAGGCGATATAGGCGATATTGACTCTACTTATTTTCAGCAAAAAACATCCAAGCTGTTTTTTTGGTGAAAATAAGTAGAGTCAATATCGCCTACGTAACTTTTTATGAACCTAAATGTTTAATCTTTGGGTGAATTGCCCATGTATGTACGTGTAGGTGTGTATATGTGATATGCATATGTGTACATATACTCCTTTTGTGAAAACACTTGTTTATCGGGACGGTATGACTTATCCAACAGTGCGGCTTATTGACTGGAAAATATGGCGGGCTATATGAACACACGGCGTCATAAATTACAAGTTACCAAGCAGGAGGTCACTCAAAGGATACATCCATGAAGCCTGGAAAGCAGAAAACAAATACAAAATAAGCACAATCTAAAAAACATACCAGCAAAAAAAAAAAAAAAAATGTTGAAGCAAGTGCTATTTGGTGTTTCTAGTGGAAATTAGCATAGAAGATAATATGAATACTTACTGAACATCAGCAGTGTGATCAAGATCTGTAAAGGAGATAGAAACAGCGAAATAAATCCTTCAATTCAATGAGGGTTAGGAGCCTCGGACATCCTGCAAACGAATGCGCCATGCCTACGTTTTCTCGACAAGTATTTCATTTAGTAACGCTCTATCCAATCAGGTGCGTCAAAAATTTCCGACGTAATATCACTGGTGCTTTGAGCTTTCGTCGATCACATGTGACATTACTTTACCAAATGAGAGTGCCTCTACCCCATGTTAGCGATCAACAGTGCATGCACCTGCTACAACATGGCTACGCCTTGAAACACCGATACACATATCCTCTTTTTGTCAAAGCCACATGGTTCTCAGCTCGCAAGCTATTACGCTAGCAAGTTCGCACACGGGCAAGTCGACGACATCGAGCTACGTAGTACGTGATGAATTGTTGCCGACAGACTTGTTTCACCACATCGGGGAAGTGGCGACTAATGACAAGCAAGTCTGACCAAAATGTGTCTCGCCACGCGCACGAGAGAGAGAGAGAAGAGGCAGAAAGAAAGTTGTCGCGCGTGTGACTAAACTTCACCCCTGCAGACAACATTCTCGTCAGAGTGGGTAAGCAATTCATTTCGGCTGCGATCTCCTCGTCCATTAGAGTGCCTCTGGCAGTCGTTAGTCGACAAAACCAATGAACTGGTAGAAATATATAGGGTGATCCAAGTCACCAGGCTCGATCTAAAATGGATTGTAAAAATCGACGCCTGCACGTAGCAATCTAAACTATTCGTCAAAGGTATATAATTCACAGTTCGGTTTTTTCTTGTAAAATTACAAAGCGTAGCTCTTTTCTGTAACAAATAAGGCCAAGAAACTTGCCAGGGTCTACGGCGGGCAACAATGCAGACGACAGGGGTTCAGTAGCGGGGTGTGTTTGGCGTTCGTATTGATAGAAGGCACTACCTCCTTATCGCGACGGCTCGTGACCACTGTGGTTTATTAAAATGAATATAATCTTTCTGAAATGTACCTTCGGTTAAAAAAAGAAATGCAAACAATAAAAGCAAAACTTAAAGTAAAGAAACGCGTCTGCTGGCGCTTTTGCTGCCAGCGGATTTCGTCTGCGTGTCGTCTGCCATCTTTCACTGGTCGGCTGCACCTTCAGACGCTGCTCCCGACGCCATCTATCAATACGAACGCCAAACAAACCCCGCTACTGGACTTGGTCATCTGGGTCGCCGCCCGCCGTAGACCCAGGCAAGTTTCTTGGCCCTATTTTTTTACTAAAAGAGAACTTTGTGATTTTACAAGAAAAAACCGACCTGTGAAATACACTTTTGATGAAAAGTTTAGATGGCTACGTGCAGGCGTCATTTTTACGGTTCATTTTAGGTCGAGCCTGGTGACTTGAACCACCCTATATATACTTCCCCTCAATTTTCACTACGATGCCTGAAGTGCGACTCCAACTGGTGTATATGCCGCTAGAAGTGCGCTGTTGTTCTTTGTACTAGGATCGGGCTAAGAGCGCCACATTTGTTGCATGCCTATCCGAAAGCCTCCCCAAGTGTGCGTGAGTGTGCAAGCTGAAAACTTGCTGCAATCAATGAAGAAATCTTAGTAATGGTGACACTGGCAGATGCCATGACAAGCATAAATGACCTATCTTCAATCCATCATATGATCGAGCACGGCATGAGTAACATGGCAACATGAATGTTAATCACGTGCAAAGTGCAACCATGTATAGTATTTTCTGTGTGTCTTTTTACGTAATTGTCCTATTCGCGTCACTTGTAAGAAGGCTAGAAGTCATAAAAGCTATCTCGACGTGCATCTCTATTTTTTGTGTCTCAGGTTTCTGCAATTTTTACTCCACTAAGAGAAACCTGGAGGGGTTTGTTCGACAAATGTTTCGTTTCTCCTAAAAAGAAACGGAAGTGACGATATCGCGTCTAATTGGTTAGAGGCTCAAATGACGAAAGTTCCCTCTTTCGTCATTTGAGCCTATAGCCAATCAGACGCGATATTGTCACTTCGGTCACTTCCGTTTCTTTTTAGGAGAAACGAAACATTTGTCGAACATACCCCTCCTGTACTTAGAGCGATGATGAAGCTCTGCACTTGATGGCTCCCATGAAATGCCACCAGGAAAACGGTGATGTCCACTTTGTTACAGACATCAATCCTTGCATTGTAGAAGATACATTGCGCTGACATCACTCCGAATGCCATCTTTTTTTGCGATTTGTTTTGCAGCACGTGTATCCTAGCTGTCTCGCGTAATCCCATAGCCTCCCCGGTATACAAGGTGAAACACACCAACTTCGACCCAAACAATAAATTAAATGAACAACCAGCGTTGAAGGGTGACGTCAACTGCGAACCGAAATCCGCGTGCATTGCATCATGATTGCACGATCGCTGCGGGTTTCACAAGTACCGACTTGTCAGCGAGTTTGAGAGATAAAAACGAGAACGACGACACGGGAAGTGTCACGAAGGTACGGCCCATGAGAAGATTAGAGTGGTTCGCTGTTCGTATCGCTTACATTCATATTTGATGGGCGGTATGGAAAGTTCCTCCTCGGTGAAATCGTCCCTGACCACCGGCTCCAGCGACTCGGAGTCCCACGACATTTGAAGACACGGTGTGGCCTGTAATAGATCACAGCCCTGCTCACAAAACTACAGGCAAAAAAGAGGATAGGTACACATTCCCGCGGTCCCAATGCTAGGATAGTTTAGGCGGTTCAGGCAAGCCGGTCTGAGATCGTTCAATCGATGCAATCCGAAACCGGTAGAGATTGTGGCTCGGGCTTCGACTCGCAGTGAATATGACGACTCGCTTGACTCGCCAAACTTCAATGACTTTCCAAAGTTAGCTGGGTTCGCTGCGTTCCATCAACAAAAATTTACGTTAGCTTACAATGAGACGAATCCTTTCTATCATTGCCCCCATTGTGAGCTTTGCCACAATTTTTTTTAGTTTTCCTTAATCTGTAATATCACACACGGCGTACAACTTTTACCAGTTTAATTAAAATATAATAATATATTAATTTTATGTTTAAAAATACGGAATTTAATCAAAGGCTTTGTACATATTCGACAAATATGATTAAAAAAGAAGAAAGCTCTTCATACGTAATAAAATTTCTTAGACAATCCAATGACATCCAATCCAAAGCCGCTCGGGAAAGATTCTCAGGGGCAAGGATGGCTGCATCGGTGTACGCCAAGAAATCCCTCCTTTTAGCATCGTCCACTTTTAGATTCGCATCGGTGAGTGACAGCATCATCTTAGAATACTCGTGCATGTCTTCAACATTGAATGAAGGGTTAAAAAACACGAACCAACTCTCCGAAGAGCTAGCGTGAGCGTGCCCCCAGGGGTCATCGGTTTGCAGGGAGTGCTTTGCACGAATCGGGCTCGGAAGTATCCGATTTGCTGCCTACTTAACACGAGAAATAACTTAGCCCAAAATGGGAAAGTGAGTTGGCTTATTTGGCGCAACATTTTTCGAATAACTGTGCGTATCCGAGTTGGCCCAATGCCGACAGCTTGCTTTTAATCGCACCTGACCTTGCAGGCATTTGCTCTTTTTGAATCGCTAATACAGGTACTACATGCGCGTACGAGGGAAATGTGGCATCGCTTTGCTCGACGAGCTGCTCTAGTGCGCCAGCGGATTTGTGCCACAGCTTTCGTCGGGGCACTGGCCTAGTCGGCTCTGTCCTCTATTTGAAACACGTTGATTAACGGTTGTGCGTCGGTGGTCGTTACGTACGTCTACCGACGTACAACCGTTGCATCGTTTCGGCAGCGCTTCACGGTAAAATATGTCGCGACATCAATTAATGTCGTGAATCCCGATGACGAGGCTCATTTAATTAATATGTATCACCTAACGCACTTAGGCGTAATGAGTAAAGCTATACGCACTCCGGAGTGCGCTTCGCGCGGAAATGGCTATACGCACTCCTCCGAGAGATCATGCCGCTCGGGCCACCCTTTTCGAACGGCGCGTGAATCACTGGGGCGCTCGTTAACACAGCCCCCCGCCTGCGTTCACGCCGCTTCGCGGCGACAGTATCGGCTGCTAATTGCAAAGCGTAACCAGTACACGCCGCTTCGCGGCGTCCAGCCGGCAATCCAAGCCCCGCTGTCCCCGATCGCACCTCCGGAAAGGGAGTCCGATACCATTTAGTTCTGCAAAGTTTCTCGACAACATTCGATTTTTTTTTCTTTTTTACTGTTCATCGCAAAAAAGGAAATGTCGTAAATATCGCCAAATGCCTCGACAAAACAAAATGTTTGAGAAAAAAAAAAAAAAAAGTAGGCCCACCGCGGATCGAACCCGCGTCCACTTGCGTATGAAGCGGACACCCTAACCCCTATGCCATGGAACCGTTTAGAAAACTCGTTGTGTCCACTCTTTTTATACGAGAAAAGCGGAGTGCGTATAGCCATTTCCGTCCGAAGCGCACTCCGGAGTGCGTATAGCTTTACTCGGCGTAATAGTATACTTCACTAAAGGCTAGAGCACCTGAAAAAGCGATCGCTTGAAAACTTCAGAAAAAATATGCGATCTGTTGGTTTATTAGCCAACACTTTTGGTACTGGCTCGGCAGCAAGCCTGCACTGTTCGCAAGAGACCTGGAGTAGGGTGAGGAGAGTGGGAAACGAGCCTTTATGTTTGGGCGGTATGACCTACCAGAACTGCCCAAATGATGAGAACAGCACTTGCCCTTTTTCCTCTTTTACCTGACAAAATCGGTTGAAATGCCTATGGGGAACTGCTGTTTAATAGTCTGCTATCAAGATCCGGATGCATGTAGATGGCACTGCAGTCGAAAAAAAATTGCCCTCGGTCTTTGCCTCTCTTCAAAAGATAGAATTAGAACAGAGACTAAGATACATGGAGTTTAGTAACATTAGCCATTGATTGCACCATTTGGTTACTCTTTCAAGATCATTCTGGAGAATGGAATGATCGTTAGTGCCCTTCATTTGGCGATAGATTACACAATCATCGGCGAACAGACATATGTTAGAGGAGACAGAATTTAGGAGATTGTTAATGAAAATCAAGAACAGGAGGGGACCGAGGACACTGTCTTGTGGGATACCCAATAAGACATTAGTGAGGTTAGATTCTAATAGTATGTTTATGACTGTGTATTTAACTCTCGAGGAAAGAAGCTGCAAATCCAAGAAAAGGTTAAGGAATAAATATTTATTTTGGACAGTTTAGAGAGGAGGCGGAGGTGACGAACGCAGTCAAACACCTCGGAAAAATCTAGGCAAATTGATCCGTTTGGGACTGTGAATCAAAATTAGTGTGTAGGTTGTGTGGTAATTCAAATAGTTGGGTGCCACAAGAATAACCCTGGCGAAAACCATGTTGATTTTGGGAGAAAAAGTTGTTGCAGGTTAAGTGATTCATGATGTTAGAAAAGTCTATGTGCTCATAAAGTTTAGATGCTATGCATGTGAGCGATATTGGACAACAATTACCGACTGATCACTGCCTCTATAGACAATAATGATGTGGCCTATCTTCCAGTCCGTTGGAACGCAACCTTCAGACAATTACTGGTTCAAGATTAGCTGAAGAAACAAGCTGGAGATATCCTTCATATTTGTTAGTATTTTGGAGCAAATAATATCGGGGCCCGGGGCAGAAGATACGTTCAAGTTCTTGATGAGTTTGGCAACGCCAGCTGCGGTGACAGTGATTGGTGCCATTCGGGGAAACGGAAGGGGAGGGAGAAAAGGATTGTTATGCGATGGCTCAGGTGTAAAGACAGAGGAAAGAAATCATTCATTATTGCTGGATCAAGTTCATCCGGTACAACGGCGCCATCATCGTCTAACAACTTGATAATTTGGGTACTGGGATTGGGTCTTATCGTTTCCTGAAGCTTAGTGGGGTTAAGACAAAGAATATTAGGTAAATCTAGGAGAAAGTACTTCTTTTTTGGAAGCTTTAATTAATGCAGTATACTCTTTTAGGTAAGCAAAGTACTTTTTCCACATTGAAGGGGACCCACTAGCCTTCGCTTTTCGACAAAGGCGTTTTTTTGTTATGGGGAGTTTTAAGTTTTTTTATCGTACCTTGGTTTACCAGCGTCTCCACGAATATGTAATAGAGGGACATATCAATTGACCAGGTCAACTAGCTTTTGTTTAAATAATACCCAATTTTTCTCAACAGATTGTGATAAAAAAAAAAGAAAGGAGAGAAAAACAAAGAAAGATAGTAAGCTCATTGTGAATACCAACGTAATTGGCTTTGTTGAAATCCCGAATAACCTTTGAGAAGGGCAACTTAATAGTTACAGGCAAAGATATCCATACATTTATTATTTTATGACTGCTAAGACCGGGCAAGTACACAGCAGAATCAACCAGATCAGGGGATGAGGCAGATACCAGGTCAAGGATATTATCGTTGCAGGTAGGCATATTGATCACTTGAACGAGATTGAACATCATACATAGGTCAAGAAAGTGCTTTGGATAATGTGACATAGACATTAAAGTTAATTTCCGAAAAGGTAAAATCTCAGAAAAATAAAAGATTTGCTTTGGAAAAACGGCTGGTTTATTTCATTTAGTGCAGTATGCAGTTTATTAACAAACAAACAGTCACTACCTGGGGTTTGATAACACACCATAACAATCGTTGTACTGAATTGTGAAGGCAAGTAAACCTAAAATAACTCATAGTTGCAATTCAGCTGAACATGAAAGGAAGACAATTTATTCTACATTGCCACAAGGGCACCAGCACCACGGTGCCAAGGCCGATTGCATCGATATACTGAAAAGTTCATACTCGGATAAAAAAGTTTGTTGTCACTAATGTCTGGTTTTAGTCAAGTTTCCGTAAACATGGCAAATGCCACGAGCAAGTCGTCTGCTTCTTGCGCAGGAGTTGCGGGGACGTCGGAATGATGCCGTGTTCTAATTGGCTCTTATCGAAGGATAGTGGGTAAACCTCAAGGCAACTTGCTTTGAGGTCTACCCACTATCCTCCAGTTGGAGCCAATCAGAGCTCAGCTTTCTGACGTCACCACAACGCTTGCATAAGAAGCAGACGAACTTGCGCTCCACATATCTGAGTTGCTATCGCTGAGAAGATTGCATATCTCTTCTTTTTTTGGCATGTAGCTTCGAACATTTGTAGATGTAACAAGATGAGACTGTGATTTTTTAGTTTCAATCCGTGGGCAGGGTGGTGGCGTGTTACGGTCAGTCTTATTTCTTTTTAGCTGTGCTTCAAAGACTTGTGCCCAGTCATCAACTGGATTGTAAAGGTTGCACTTGTTATTAACTAGAAGCTTATCAAATCAAACTTTGAAGGGCATTTTTTGCTGCTCTGCAAGTCGAAAAAACTTACCGCGCATTAGGTGAACGGATTACGAATAATCCTCTCGGACGGTAAAGCTGGTATTTTTCAGTTTGGAACCGGCCGTCAAAATAGATTCCTTGTATTTATAACATAGTAACTTTACAATTATTGGACGCTCTTTGTTTTCTCTGAAATCTTACAAGTTGGTAGGGTCAAGCTGGGTGCCGAGATTTTGTAAGCAGAATTTAATAATGTTTTCTTTTGATTTCGGCCATGTTTCTCTCCGAGAATTCGGTAATCCGAAGAAAAGTAAGGTAGATCAATGAAGACGGTTTTCTGCATCATCACACCCAACTTTCAAGTTGAAAAGTTTCGATGGGATGGTGTACTTTTCTGATGACAATGATGCACTTTTCATAGCTGTAAATCCTGCTTGATGTTATCAATCCTACCGTCGTGTAATTGACTCTAGCAACAGCCGCTCACTGATCGCTCTGCAAGAGTGTAATTTTTGCAAGCATATTTTCTTGGCTAGTTTCAATATGTTTCAGCGATGCCAGAATAGCGATGTATTCAGTGCTGTCAGGGATAGGGTCAGTCTCAATATCACCTGATGCTAAGACCAGAAGATGGGAAATAATTGTGTGATATGCACAGTTGAAGACACACCACAAAATTTTTTGATGGCACACTGACAAGTCGTAGGGGCACGACATCACCAAAAGAAAGCGAAAGCCAATTAGGTCTAGAAGCTGCATTGTTGAGATTATTAACCTGTAGCACATGAATGGTTCGCATGACAGTTTTAACGGTAATGTTGTGCCCCCAGTTGCTCAACGTATCACCTTGAGCAACCCTGCAGTTGCTCAAGGTGATAGTGATTTAGTACAGGCATTGGGCTTCAAAGACAGCAAAGAAAAAGTACATGAAGGTAAAAGGCCCCAGGAAAAGAGTGCTAAATATAAGAGCTCTAAACCATTAGTGAGAGTACTGAGAAGCTATAGGGGGGGGAGCTGCCTGAAGGTTTGTGCCGAGATGCTATTTGTCATGACAAGAGAAAAGTCACGTTGTCCTTCTAACTATCGCTGAACAAGTTTTTTTTTTTCTTTTTTCTCAAAGCACCATTGTTTTTTAAGTGATGAAACTTTATAGTTGTTGGGATGTTGTTTTGGGCATCTCATTAGAAGCTCTAAAACAATCTGTCTAAAAATGTGTGGATACCGCGTTGCTTTTGTGAAGGCGTGTTGGCTGAAGTTTTTCTGTCGGGCTTCTCCGCTTGTTTCCAGTTGAGACATGCGGCGGCGGCGGCTCCAGCCGGCGACAAGGGAGTGAAGAAGTTTGAGATCTACCGATGGGTGAGCCTGGCAACCTTTGCAGCCACTTACTTGCCCAGTGACGATAGGCTTTGGGAAGCTCACGTTTGGGGAATGGGAAACGACACATCGACTGGCCGGAACGTCCCGGAGTTTTTGGAGAATTAGCCCCCTCAGCCACTAATCAGGATGGTTACTCGTGCCCTTTATTACCATTCCAACAGCATGTCACGGTGAATGGTCAGAAATTAATAGTCAGAGTGACAAACAACACCTAAAAACACAATAAATATATATATATATATTTTTTTTTTTTTTTTTGCAAGTTGCCAATTTTAAATACAATTTTGCAGTGTGTATGACAAAAAAAAAAAATTAGTCTTCAATGGGTAAGTTAGCTTGGAAGAGTCACTGTAGTATGGTTGTAAGTTGTATTGTGGTCTGCTGCAGGTTAAAGAAAGCTGGACAGCCTTCTCCCATAGATCTCTCTGCTCGCTACAATTGGTGGTTTCCTTCCCTCTGGCGTTTGCTCTGCCAAGGTGGAAACAATGGAGGGCTTTCTGGGAGTAGCTTGTCCTGCCATTCCTAACCTGCAACAGACTGTAGCTGTTGCATAAAGCTAAACTATTAACAGTATCAAAAAAAAATGTTAGGCACAAGTATGAGGTGTGCAGAGACAGAACATTCTCGTTCTCATCTCGTGCTTTTTTTCTGGCACTGTTAATAATTTGGAACTAGAAGAGTCAGGGAAGTGTGTTGTTAGCATTGGGTGGGTGTGGGAAATATGTGAAGAAGTGTCGCTTTGGTACATTGCAGAACCCTGAGAAGAAGGGGGACAAGCCCAGGCTTCAGACGTACGAGGTGGACCTGAACGCGTGAGCTCCACTTTTTGTTTGTAGTGTGGGGCTGCTCCAATCCGCCTAATGGACCCTCTTCAAAACCCCATTGAGCAACATTGCTGGTCACAATATTTTGGAAATTGTGACCAGAGTTGTGACGAAGGAAAATCGGCGACCCCCTCGCCAGGGGGAAAGAGGCAGGGGAGGGGGGGGGGGGGGGGGCATGGGGGGATGTTTCTGGATTTTTTTGCCCAATCCCCAAGAGGCCGTTCTGGTGATAGTTACAAAATTACAGAGGGAAAGCAAATTGGCTTAGAAGCTTGGCGAAGGAGGAATCATTCTTTTGGTTTTAAGTTTTTAGGTTAGATGGCGCAAGATACCGTCTGTTCTTATAAAGCGTACAGCCGTTAGCATTCATCCATCTATTGGGCATGACGCCACCGTTTCTTGGGCACGTAGCGTGTGGTTGGAACCAAGTCCTCGCCGAACGCCGACGGGGCACTCCAGTACGAGCTGAGCCAATTTCGTGCCAAACGCTGAAGCAGCCCTCGTCTCCAATGCGTGCCAAGAGTATGCGATCAAACTGTGGCTGACTCAGATGACTAGCATGACAGCTATAAGATGGTGCTTACTTTCGAAAATAGTCTGTTGTGCAGCAGGGGAAAGAGGGGTCATGTTAGTAATGCCCACGAGACAAGGGTCATGCATTAAGTCATCTTTAGCGAGTCCCCGATCTGCTTCAAGTGTCAGACATGCTGGAGTTCAAAGAGAATATGCCGCGCGGCAGAAGACATTTTGGTATCTTGGCGTGGAACACTCTTTCTGGAGGAGGTGCAGTGGGAGACGGTGGGCCTTGGGCTGCTGGCGGCGTGTACGGGGTGGGCCCGGTGGGTTAATATTTTTTTAATGAGCCATCTGCAGGCTGTCCCCTCGAAAAGGGCGACCCTCTTGGCATCGGCATGCGCATGGTGTTCTATGCTTTTTGTAACGTACCACCAGTGTTGGGAAGTATTTTAAGTACATTGTACTTAAAGTACTTCTTCAGGTAGTTTTAGAAAACTTGTACTTTACTTATACTAGTACACTCTTTGAGTGTGTACTTGTACTTTACTTAAAAGTACTTTTTCTCTTACTTTCCGAGGAAAGTACAACTCCCGACTTTAACGTATAATCCCCAAGTTTGGTGTTGTCAAATTTGTATCGCAAAATAATGCTTTGTCAACTCTGAAGAAATACTGGGAGGAATATTCTACTTGCACCAGAAACGCCAGCAGACGACGCATCGCTCATCTGGCCATTTCTCTGAGTGAAGTAAGGGTGGCTATAAAACTTATACAAATAAGTGCCTTATAAGTTGATTGTGTTAAATAGTTTGTCAGCGAGACTAAAATAACTACTCTGTGGCCCCTTCACCTTATCCAATGTTCGCCGCCTTTTCCGAAAATAACTGACGCACTCCCAATTACCCTTGGGGCAATGCATAGCAGTGAAAATAAACAACACTGATAGGGGAATGAAACGGTATTATGAAAGATTGTGTTAAGAAGTGCTTGTATACTTACTTTGAAAGTGTATTCGGCATCCAACCTGTCTAGAGCGCTGGAGCGGTGCGCACTTGACTGCGCGTGCGACATCTGCCGGCGGACGTTGGGCCCGAGATAGCGTGCCTCTGAGCATGTGCCACCATTGTGCAGCGCTGGGCAGATGCCAACGTCTGTGCTGACACTTCTGCAGACTCCGCTGGCCACCAGAAAAGTTCTCAGCGCCTCCGGGCTGCAAAATAAAGACAGTGTGGCAGCGCACGCGCCGCCGGCTTTGCAATATCGCACATTCTTATGAGAGGAATTTAACCGCTGAACTCTCGCGCTTGCTTCCATCAAGGATTGTAACCCTAACAGCGGCTCAATTCGGTCCTATTCTCGACTGGTTGTGCGTGCCTCACCACATGCCTCAGCATAAACACTCAAAATTATTTTCTCTCGAGATTTGTTTTTTTCTGTTCATTCATCACATTTTCATTTTAGTCTTGGTCTAAATCGAAGCTATCTGAATTAAAATATTTGCATGAAAACTCGAGCGTCTGTGACACTCTATATATTGGAAGACTCATTGAGATATCAAATATTTCAATTGGTAGTGTCGTTACGAACTTGGTGCTGCTTGCATAAGTGGCAGGAAGCTTTAAGGAACTGAATGAGTTTAGTGTCCGACACATGTTCATTACCGCAGAATCACAAGCCGCAGTTATGTTCTCATTGTGAAAGCAATTTATCGAAAGTGCAGAGATAACAAGCACTTCAATTGGTAGCAGTGAAGAAGCCTTGCATGCAAACAAGAAAATCCGTAGCTTCCCACGCACACCATGAGCGGTTTCACGTGAGTATGGAACTGGAACTCACGATAATGTGGAGCAGCCGGCGCGTGTGTCGCCACACCGAGCGCCTTGATTTCGCAGCCTGGAGCACGCGCAATCTGGGGCACACCGCTGCCGAGCTCTAGACAGATTTGATGCTGAGTGTACATTGTATTTATGTTACTTTACTTCAACTACATTGTGCCTGTTGTACTTACTACTTTACTTGAAGTACATAACCTCTCACTCACCTTGTACTTTACTTCCAGTCCCTCTCAGATGTACTTTACCCACCCAAAACTGCATACTGCCAACACTTGAGGAATTATTTCCATATGTACTCGGGATTGAATGCACATTTCTGCAGCTTTTTTTCTGGCTTTTCTTTCACCGCCTGTGTCTGTAGTGAGTGAGAACTCGAACCGTTCATCATTCGAGTCTTTGTTAATCTTCAATATAGTCTTGACTGGAGGCTATATATTGGTGTACGGTCATGGGAACAAAACCAGATGACGTATGAGAAAGGAACCGGACTGTGCGTGTTATGTCGAAGCCCGACGCAAATAGGCAAAAGTCGGAAACTGCCTCGGCGCACCGTTGGGCGTGACGGAGCGACGGTACTGCAGTGCCCGGAATGCATCGCACTGGTGTATAGGCGTCCCGTTCCGCCCGTGCGTCGAAAGTGGTTCCGAAGTGGCAAGGAAGGACGTTGTGAAGGTCGGAGTGTCACGCTGTCTGACGTCGCGATCCCGATAAGCGAAAAGCACAAGCAGACTAGATTGTTGTCGTCCTCACGGTGTCCCGACTCTCGGCTGCCGAAGCTTCCGCGTGCCGTCGAGTCGTCGTGCGATTCGCGACACCGCCTGGATTGTGGCTCGCCAAAAGCACGACACTTCTCCGACATCGCCGCTTTTTGGACCCCGTCGCAGGTGCGGGCCCATGGTGCTGGACGCACTGATCAAGATCAAGAACGAGGTGGACCCGACGCTGACCTTCCGCCGCTCCTGCCGGGAGGGCATCTGCGGGTCGTGCGCCATGAACATCGATGGCCGCAACACCCTCGCCTGCATCTGGTGAGCGTCGTCGTGGTGGTTGCGGCGTTTCGGTTCGACGCGGCGACCGCCAAAGCTCGTCTATTGACGATGAGATCGAACTATAGGGGGCGCTCTGACCCATTCGGTGTCCCCACACCTCGGTGCTTACCCAACACAAGGACTGTGCACGTGCCTATAGTCCTTGTGGGCATGTTCATGTCATCTTCTTTAATAGAGCGCGTTATGTGCCAGATCTCTGTTACGCCGACCACCAAGAAGGTGGACGGCAACCTTCTTGGAGGTCGTGATGTGAGAAAATAATGAAGAAAAGTGTGCATGCTGGAGGGGGAGGGAGATGTCGCTACCTTTCTTATTTTTGTACCCTGGTAACCACAGAGCTCCTGTCGTTCGGAAACGGTGCATATTTTTCTCCCGACATCTCAGACTGCCCGGCTGCAAAAACTCTTTTGAAAAATATTTTAATGTATGTTACGGTAATCCTCCAAATCAGATGGAAAGACAAAATGGGCAGCCTGTTTTGAGCTTCATTGGTGTTTTATTTTTTAATGTGAAACATTCTTTGGCTAGGTGTTTGGCATTTCGTGAAGCCCAGATAAAAGTGAAGCCGGGATAAAAGCGTGACCGTGAAGCTCGACACTAATTGGTTGATGGGCAGGAAAGGAGGAGTGAGCTGCTCGATGGTGAAGTAGGCAGGGACCTACCTTGCTCCTTGATCACCCGCATGCACTGAGGATAAGGAGCTCTAGAATATGGAAAGCTCTGGAAGATTGCCAGGTTTATCAGCCCGATTAGTGGTAGTGTTGCTTCGTTCTAGGAACACCTATGAAGTGTGCACATGGTGTGCATTAAACTATCTGATAGGGCATCTGGCACACCCCGGCGTAGGACTCGGGATTTATTTCTACCAGCTGGAAATCTTTTGATGTGCAATTGAAACCTCGAAACCTTCTTCGCAACAAGCCTCTGTCAGATTGCAGGCACCTCGACCGGTGTTCAAACTCGCCACCTGGGGATCCGTAGGCCAGCACTTTTTTGCCTCGAGGCAACCCCCATTAAACTCAGCGTGTTAGAATTTTGCACTAGACGTCACACCATGGTCCGACATTTATTTTTAACGAAAGCTTAGACCTAGCCACTTTCTGTGTAATAGCTGTTGGAGGGACGTCCTTCGGCAAGAGGTTGTGCTCATGACAACACGAGGAACCTTCTCGCACAGCAATTGCATGTGCAGATAAACCCTGCTGTATATCTTGGACGGGATACAAGGTTTTGCTGAGTGTCTAGTCGTACATTCCAGGCAACGGAGAGGCAGGTGTTCCTGTAGCGGACGGCAATACGGTTGTTGGCTCGTGCTACCGAGGCTTGAAAAGAGTGCCGAAGATATCGGTTTTTGTGAAACTTGATCGTCGATATCTGGCGAGGTGATCGGCGCAAACCTCACGACGCCGACCATTGTACGGGCAGGAGAGTTGACACCATAGAAACCGTTTGCACAAAGTACCTATCAATGTGCTGCTTGAGATTTAGGCCCTCGTTTTGAGAACATTCGTGTCTGCTATAAAAAATAAATTTTTTTAAAAAATAAATTTTTTTTTTTTTAATTTTTGTGCCAGTTTTGTTTTTAAAGCAACAGCTGGCAATACGTGGCCACTTCAGTAACATGTTTTAAAAATTTGTAAGCTCTAGTGGTGAACTACTGACGCAATATTATGCTTAAACAGTCCGGAGATAACATGTTTAGGGGTAAAAGAGACCGGCAGAATTTCAGTAGACTACTTCCATAAAGCCCTGCATGCAACACGGCACGCGTTGCACTCTGGGAACTAGTTGACCAGGGAGGAGAGTGGCATGGATTCGGTTTCGATCGACACGTCGACAAGAGGTCACACAAAGAGCGTGGACTATTAACGGCCGTTATCTCATGCTTTCTGGTCCCGAGAGTGTCATTTGTGGTCTCTAAACTAACCTAAATGGCCAGACCTCGAAGCTTTAGTACAAGCCCGAAACGTATAGCTTGTCGTAACGCATGCTTGTTGTATTTTTGTACTTGAGCCTTTCTGTTAGCGTTTCGAGGTATGTGAACGAGCCAGTGCTGGGAAATTTGACGCTGCGAAGCTTGGGGATCTTGCTTGTGTGTGAATCAGCAAGCTGTAGCAACCAGTAAGTACGCATACATCGAGCTCGAGCCTTTACACTAGTATTGTTGATCAGGAAGTTTGTTTCGTGCGTCCATAGACGAAATATAACTTTTTGCGATTACCGTTAGTTTCCACCCTCTTGCATTCCACTAATATTTAACATCGCGTTGCGCATAAAGTTATCCTGCAATCATGTAGGCACATTCGCACATAAAAACCGTTTTAAGAAAGCGAAAGTCGAGCACTTCTGTGAAGAATGTCGCACCATTCGCTGGAAGTGCGCCGGACGGGCATGAACCCCTATGCGGTGTGCCAAACGAACGAAATTATTCAAAGCACATTTGACAGTTGCTAATGGCTATAATATTTGTTATGTGTTTGCTTTCTTTGTGACTGAGTATGCCGAGATAATTTCAGACACACCGTTCAGGCACAGATCTTGGGCGTCAGGAAGAGCTCGTCCAAAAAGGCTTAGCGAGGAGTAAGGGACGCTTGTTAGTGCCTCCGTCGTAGCAAGCCGATCTCAGCGTTTGCGAAAACTTAATATTCTATCAGCGTAAAATTTGAGTGGGAGATATGTGATGACACGAGGAAGACATCATAGTAAAGTTTGTGCAGTAGTGTGCTGTGTTTCCTTAAAAGTTCATGCGCCAACGCTGGGCTCAACTTTGATAATCCTGTGAAGATGCGGCTTGCTTTTCGCCCAATGAAGTAACAAGAAGCGGACGTTTGGCAAACAAAATACTTGTAGTGCTCAAGGGACCAAATTTCAATTGTAGTTCACTGGTACTAGACGGGATTACTGACATTGAGCTCAACGATGCACTCGTGGGGTGAGGTGACTAAGCCACGTCTTACTATGTTTGCATACGCATGCACTATATCTGGTGTTTCGGGAACCAAGGAAAGTGCCCCAGTCTTCGTTTTGTATCGCTCGAGAATGAGTGTATTGTACATTCGTAAAAAGTCAGATAATCGAAAACGCAATCAGCGCGTTCGGTCGTGGCGTGATAGCATGAGATGAACCTGCTCAGTCGAAACCGAAACTGAGTGGCCAACTAGTTCCCAGAGTGCACTGCGTGGTATTTTGCCGCAATGGGGCGCGTCGGTTTAGGAAGAAGTCTATTGGGCAAATCAGATTGCTTTCTTACAACCCTTTTTAGCAAGGGGTTGTAAGGCGTCAAACACACTGGATTGAAAATTGCACCGCCGAGCAGAACAACTGTAGCAGCAGCCGCCGCCAGCACTATGACAAAGTTGAATGCCGCTTTGCCAACATCACAGTGTCAGCAACGGCTGCTATAATTGTGCCGCTCAGCGATGTGGCGCAATGCGTTTTTGTTTTTTTTACACGTGTTTCACGCTTACGCTTTTCATAGGTGTTTACTTTCTAGTCCTTAACCCTTTGGCGGCCATCGTCCTATGTGTACAGCGACGATTACACATTTAAAAGTAGCCATTTAAACTCGAAACCGCACGCACCACAGGAGGTGTTGTTATTTGTTATGTTTGTGGCGAACTCTAAACGTTAAATTCACGCAGTGTTTCGCTTTGCTGGGGCTATTTATAGCGCCAGCAGAAGTTTTAAAATTAGACGCTCTGCACATACACTCTAGATGGTCACTTCTCACGTCGGCTGCTCCGGCGGTAGTGGCAATCGGGAGCCGGCTCTCTCCCGATTCGGAACTCTAATGCTTTTTGGAATGAATTCGGAGGACGAGAACTTACCATCCGACGGAGAAGCTCCGTAAAGCACCCTCAGTTTGCAATCTGAAACCGCCGGATTGTTGGCGGTAGCTGACTCACCAGAATGGGATTGAACGAAAGAAAGGTGAAAACTTTTCGCCTTCAATAGTTTCATTCTATGCTTCTAAACCTGAACAGCTTGCAAGCACTCACTATGTGCTCCCACTGGATAATGAAGGAAAAAATCCTGAGAATTTACTTTTTCATGATACTAGTTCCTTGGAAACAAAACCGGACCACTAGGATACATTTTTCGGGGTAAAAAAGTACTCGACTGTCAAAGGGTAAAAAAGGCCCAAAACCACTTCCTGCTATAGTTTATTTATGGTTGTAACTCAGTCTATGGGCTCTAAGCATCCCAAAAAGTTGTACTTTTTGCCCAGAAAGTGTGAAAAAATAAAAGCAATAGCTTTAGCACAGTCGCGCAATGCGGGAGGAATGGTGCCGTCACGTACCTGAGGACGGAGGTGCTGTGTGGTTAATCATCATAGTCGCTGTGGTTGGCGTCATGGATGGCACTGACGGCTGCCACCAGTGTTCAGTGGTCCATGAAGTAAGTGAGTAAACTTGGGAAAAGTTTTCAGAACCATCCAACATTACGCGTAGCAGCTGGATATTGCCAAAGTAGGATTCTGCATAACGCGAGGAATGTTTGAAAACAAGTTTTTCAAGCAGATGACACAGAAGATTCTCCCTTCATCACGTCGTTACTGGCGAGATGCCTAGGCTCCGCTCTCTTCTCTCTGCGCACTGCGCAGCCGACGGAAAAACCCAATTTCCCTTTCCTTGCGCCAAGAGGAGTGAAAAGAAGGGTTTCTTCTTCCCCCTCCTCGCACCAAGAGGGGAGAGAAGAGTCTTTTTATAGCAGCAACGACAGCCCACATGCTCAAAATCTCTGCAAAGTGTGCCGTCGGACGAGATGAAGCCTTTCTCCTAATCCGACGGCACACTCTGGTGTCTGCGATTGTTCCGGGGTAATCTACCTTTGCTACCGACTTTAGTAGAGAAATATCGGCCACACGTGAATGTAATGTTTGGTTTTTTAAAATGTTTAGGTCCCTTAGTCCGAGTTATGAACATAAATAGACTATCGCAGAAAGTGGTTCAGTGCCCTTTTAAGCACTCCGGCCTATAGACCATATAACCACCTTCTGCGTTGTCCTATCATTGTTCACTGGGCTGTGGAACACGTTCACAGTAGTTCTCTTCTGGGATGTACAGTCGACTCTCGTTAATTCAAACTCTTTTAATTCATACTTGCGGATAATTCAAACTAACATGTAGGTCCCATTCTATGCGTCTCTATGGAAGCAAACTCCTGTTAATTCAAACTTTGCTTCAATGAAACAAATTTTCAGTCCCCCTCAAGTTTGAATTAATGAGATTCGACTATACCGGTTACTACGCTTGCATTCGTTTTTTCGCTGGAGCGGCAAGTGCTGGATAGGTGTATAGTTACAAACGTTTGTCACGTCACTGCCGGACTTGTCAGCCTCGAGACAACGGCCAAGTGTAGATGTTTGTCAGTAGTCCATTGTGCCTGCTCGTTGCAGCAAAATCGACAATCCTGGCCAGTCGACCAAGATCTACCCCCTGCCCCACATGTACGTGGTGAAGGACCTTGTTCCGGTGAGTGGAGTGCCGCTCCATAGAGAGCAGACGACGCAAAAGCAAAGAGCCAGGTCGGAAACACTGGGCCACCTCACCCACGGATTAAGGCTGCTTCACACATTTGTGTTTGGATGTGCCGAAGTGCACTGCATTCGCTTGTAACTTTGCGAGGCGTGCAGCGACGCATGGGGAAAAGGGGGGTGTAGCCACGTGAGGCAGTACGATGCTGGCTTAGTTGCGATGGCAGTCGATTATAAGGAGGAACATAGTACATTTCACAATGTAAACCTGGGACTTCTCTGTTACAAACAAAGTGCTTCGTTAAAGGGTAACCCAGGTACATTTTCTCGATTTTAGGTTTACGAATGTCTTTATTGAAGGAAGTGTCTTTGAATTATGAGGTGTAATATTTTCTTTTGGAATGCCTCGTGTAGTTTTGTACCTATTGTATCTTAAAATTTTGTTTTGGGGGTCTACAGCGAAACAGAAACTACCTGCTCGAGCGAAATGGCAATCCTTGTAATCGGCCGCGGGGCTATTGGGTGACACGAAGTTTGTACCGCGGTACCGTATAACGTACGACTGGCCTAGTCGCAAGTGCGGTTCTGATCAGTCAAGTACAATTGTACGGCTGTTTTACTGCTTTGCTTCATAGCTGTCAAGCATCAGTAGCAAATATTAATACAGATTCATAAAGTTGCTGACTGAAAAGCGAGTTCACCACGATGAAGGCCGGCTCAGTGCGGGCTCAGAATGACCCCCAGCTCACCTTTTGAGAAGAGCTACCATCTTGGTGGTGTACGGTGCACATTGCAGTAGCATTGTGAAAGCTAATCAGAAGCTTGCTTTCATTAAGAACGGACTTGACCATGGTCGCCAGTGAATGCCACCTTTGGCACCATGATGCGCTTGAGTGAGCAGGGGGTCAATAATCCTCAGAGCACTTAGAAACTGGGGCCGCTAAAACATGACATAACAAACAGAAATCGTCCGCTGGGACGGCTGAAAATGCAGCAGAAAAACGTGGCGGAAGAAATGGCAGTATTAACAAGAAACTTCATTGAATCCAAAGATGACATCGGAGCACAAGGTTGCTTGATGAACAACGAACTTGTGAATGCCCGCTGAGGAGCTGCTGGTAGCATTTTTAATATCGGTTTTAGAGGATCGCAGTTTCCCATTAGTGTAATATTTTGGCAGTGTCCGTATTTAGTCTCTGTAAATTAAAATCTGTCATTTACTGCAAGTTCAAGTTTGAGTGGTTCAAGTTTTGACCAGAGTTACTTGTTAACTGCACTACCGTAAAATACCGGGCAAGCACCCACTCAAAACTTGGAAATATTTGTGAAAAAATGGGGGTTGGACGCTTGTCCGGTCATCAGTTTTACATATAAATGTACTGTGTGTATTTTCTCAGATCTTACGAATTTGGGAATGGCCGCTTATTGTGGAATAGGCGGATGCACAGTATTCTATGGTAGGTCTTAACCATTTCGAAATGGGGTCACACCCCCAGGGGAATGATGAAAGTAATAAAGATTAGTGATCATTATTTCTAGGCAAAATCCCAGTACCACAGCCCTCCTTAGCCCATGACAGTTAATATTATTACTACTTTTCAGGCATTCTCCCAAAAATGGTGACTTGTCGGATAACACCAACCGTTAGATGTGAAACGCTAGGTTTTAATCTAAGCAACCAATTTTTTTGAACTGCTAGTAATGTTTCAATGGGTTGTTTGCTGAGATATTTTTATCAGTGATGCACTAACTTTCAATCACTTCGTTTCTTTCTTTTTATAGTTCACAGCTATTATTTTGTTTCATAATGCCCGTTTCAATGTGAGCCAGACTATTCTCATGAACAAAATAATTGTTAAACGCACCTTTCGGTTGTCAGAACACAAATTTCAGCCACTAGAAAAAAATGTCTTCCTTTGGTCGTTCTTTTGTGTACCGATGGCACCCTCATTTCTCTTGCTGCCTCTCCCTCGTAGTTGTCGTCTCGGTGCCTCTCGGTGCACTTTCCACATCCTAAATAGTCGTTCCTCGACGCGCACTGTGTGGCGTCATAGGAGCGCCACACTGTCTCCGGCTGCGACTCTGGCAGTGCCAGAGCAGCGGTGGTGTTTGTGGCCCGTTCTGCTGCAGGTATCTCAACCCAGTATAGCTTTAACAATGAAAAGTTGGGGCACCACCACAACAGTGACACTAGCATCCGCTTATACTTCTTGCCAGGACTTCGTCCGGCTGCATGACAATGCGGCCCTTTTTGACGTCATTTGTTGCCACTTCGGAACCACCTCTGATGTATGGGCAAAATAGGACGCTAAACGCACCATTTAAAGACGCGTTCCAGGCACCATAATGCCGCTGTTCTGGTACATGTGGTGAGAAGTGGAGGTTCTCATGAAATGATTGTCGTGTGGCCGCTGTTCTGTGCAGGACATGACCCTGTTCTATGAGCAGTACAAGTCCATTCAGCCCTGGCTGCAGAAGAAGACTGAGGTGAAGCTTGGAGAACAGCAGCACTTACAGAGCATCGAGGACCGCAAGAAGCTGGTGGGCAGTCACTCACTCACACACAGACCCATTCTCACTTCCACAATCACACTCGCTCACCCGTGCACAGTCATTCACACACACACTCATATGCTCATACTCTCTCAAACACAATCACAGTCGCACTAACTCGCTTAGAGCCATGCTCACTCACACACACACACTCACTGACATGCACTCATTCCCCAATGCAATCAGTCACCTGCACACGCTAACTCGCACACAATCATAGACACTCACAAACACTAACATTTGGACTGACACACACACACATTGACTAACACTGTCGCTTGTACGCTCTAACTCACTTATGCACACTCACACTCACTCACTCGTGCAGTTGCTCACACAAACTAACACGCACACTGATACTCAGTATCTGAGCTACGCACAGATTTATACACACACTAACTCAGTCGCAATCATAGTCACTCAGACGCGACCTCACATACAGTGCGTTTTTGGAAACGCGGGCCGAATTGCTCTTGCGGAAACTACCGTACTTATTCGAAAATAGGTCGACCTCCTTACGAACAAACCCATCTGTTTACTTTCCCAGAGAACCCAAGGAGGCAAATCGTTAACACTCACGAAAGTAGCAGTCAAATGGCAAGGTAGAGATAACGTTTGAAATAAAATAAATGTGATCCATACAGAGCTCGTTTCTGCATTCTGACATTATCGGTGCCTGCTCATTCTCTGGGCCTCTTCCTCAAATTGCAATGATTGGCTCTTTTTGAGCATTGCAGAGAATTACACGCATGAGCATTGTTCACAAAGAGGTTGACCTGTTTTCAAATAAATATGGTACGCACTTAACAGAAAAAAGGTTGATACCGTAGTGGTGTGTGCCAAAGGGCCCATTAAAGAAGAACTCTGGTCAGTTTTGAAAATTTTGGGATCATGGGTGATTATCGCGTCAAAACTACTACTGTACGGTTCTATGTCATTTGTTCTTTGAGAAGCTGTTTAGTTTTTTTGCTAACCTCGTTTAAATGAAAATCACAAAGCGAAACCGAGACTTTGCTTGCGGCAGGCAACATTGGTCCTGCTCGCCAATTACTGGAATACGGAGACGTCGGCTATGTCACCAACAGAAGTGGTGGACGGCACCCGCACACTCATTTTTCTCTCTCGCCCTCGTGTTCCACACCTCAAGAAGTAAGAAACAAACCAAACAATTCTTCCAGTTGTTGACGTCCTGCACAGTGTTGGTTGTGTCCACGCAGGTGCGTTGACTGTGCTGCTCCATGCACCGCTCATAGTCCTCTAGAATGAGTCTATTTTGGTGACCGTGAAGCCACTCCGACTTTGTTGGCCGATTTCATAAACTTTTAGGCGGAATTGCTTCTTAAAATTTTACGTGTAGGCTTTTCAGATGGTACGACGTAGGACCGTGTTGTTTTCTCAACGTCGAAATTTGACCAAGGTTACTACCGTTCAGTATAATTGGGTAATTAATTTTTTTAGTAATTAAATATTTAATTATTAACTTTAAAGGTACTGTTTCAGTTACAAACTTGATGCGAATCATCCGAAAACTACTAAATCCACCCACATAATGATGGTATAAGGCAATGGTTCTCAGCCATTCATGTTTCGCGGATTCCTTGTGGGTCGGCAGGGATGATAGGGGACCCCGATTGTGGTGAGGGGAGGGGAAAATGTAGGTTAATTTTGATAAAAATTTAAAAAATGGATATAACTAAGGGCTAGTCTAAAGTAGACTTCTCCTACTGGCATATACACGAGAAGACGCATGCAAAAATTAGAATGTTTCTTCTGAATCTAGGAAAAAACAACTTTTATTGCCAGGCTTGATCTGAAAAAGCTTGGCTTCGCGGACCCCTAAAATGCCTTTACGGACCCCAAAGGGTCCGCGGACCCCCTTTTGAGAACCACTGGTATAAGGCATGCGTTGCATTTTACGGCCATAAAAAAAAATGTTAATTTGAACGCTTTATTAGTTTTCGGTTTCTTACCAGAGTGCATCTCCACGCCAGCAGTCCGGTTCCTTGTGGCCAAAATGCACAATGTATGTGCGCCATCACACATCACACATATGCTGTGCATTTCGGCCACGGGGCCCGGGATTGCTGGCGTAGAGGTGCGCTCCAACAAGTATCCAAAACCTAGGAATGCATCCAAATTAAGCATTTTTTTGGAACGCCGTAAAATACTGTGCATGCCTTACATTATTGTAGCTTGGGTGGACTTAGTAGTTTTTAATGATTTGCATGATGTTTCTAATTTAAACCGTACCATTAAAGTTGACGATTAAAGCTTCAATTACTAAAAGGTAATTCATTATTCAATTACACTGAACGCTAATAATTTTCCTTAATGGATCCTATGGCACAGGCAACTACAGAATCAACCTTTTTTCTCTGCGAATCATAGGTAGTGATCGCAGGACCGATTTCGCCCGCGTTTTTAAAGACACCCTGTATGTCTTTGTGTACAGACTCACAAGCTTCCTCACTTGCTCAATCACTGATGGACAGACACGTGTGTCTGTCCATCAGTGACTTATACTAACTCACCCTTCCACAGATGCACCCTCACATTAGCTCGAATAAAATCAAACTCACTCACTGAGTTTACCCATAGAGACCCAAAACAGTGCATCTGCAGTGTTTGTGGACATCCTGGCAACCTAGAGACAGCACACTGAAGGGCTACTTGAGCATTGGGGAGGCATGTGTAGAAAGTGCCAACATTTCGAAATAACTGGAAGGTATATATACTCAAGGAAATTAAAAAAAACATGTTGGGTCAACTCTGAACTCATTTTCAAAGTTACATTTTAGAGTTATAACATACAGCAGGGCTGTGCAAGGTTGTACTTGCCAAGTTCTTATTACAAGCAGATTATCTTTGACCCAGACAACTGTGCTTCATTGTAGATTGTCTTAATTAAGGGCTGTCCAAACAAAACACCGTGAAAGCTTTGAAAAAAGCTTACACTTCCCTCAAAAGAAGGGAAAGTTCCGGCCCGCCCGTCCGTTTTCAGTTTGGACATCAACCACGCAAACCGCATGGCTTTCCTTTTCGCTTCTCGCTTTTGTCTCTTCCCTTTTTCTTGTTTCGGGAGATTGGGGACCGACGGCAATGGCGAAGGCTTTGACGATAGCCAGCAGAGCGTGTGAGAGGCTGTCTGCACGCACATGACGAGCACGCTCCAAGCCTCTGTCCAGGGACGCAAGCGGAAGGAAGCTTTCCCCCCGGCAAAAAAAGAAACGTGCAAAAGCGGACCGAAGCCAGAGGAAAATTTTTCAGTACGGCATATGACACGGATTTAGAAAACACAGCTTCTGCTGTGTCCCATTGGGACGGCCCTTTACTTGACCAGGAAGTTCTCTTCCTTTTCCGATCAACAAATGGAAAGGTTTTTAACCTCGCTGAGGAAGATTTTCTAAGTCGGACTCCACTCCAAGTTTATCAAATACGTTACGAGACACGGCGAAATTTTTCTTTTGCGAACAGGACGGCCTTTACGAGTGCATCCTGTGCGCCTGCTGCTCGACCTCGTGCCCCTCGTACTGGTGGAACAGCGACCGCTACCTGGGTCCCGCCGCCCTCATGCAGGTCTACCGCTGGGTGATAGACTCGCGCGACGACAACACCCAGGAGCGCCTCAAGCGCCTCGAGGACCCCTTCTCTATGTACCGTTGCCACACCATCATGAACTGCACCAAGACCTGCCCCAAGGTGGGTTACCCGCGCACCCCCTCCTTGCTACCAGAAAAGGGTTTCTAGATTTCGGTTCCACGTCCACCCCTGCCCCTGACTATCCGGACGAGCGTCGCACCGGCACGCGGTCGCATAACTACTGCGGGATGCACATTAAAAAGGTGGTACGGCGCTGGTTAAATATCTTGTATACAGCCGAAACACCAGACACCGATTGGAGCTGGCTAACTTCCGGCAGTCTAAACATTTGCGCAACGTAATTAAATCCTCAGTTTCCTGTCAGAGTGCGTCTTTGTGCTAGGAGTCCCACCGACCGTAACCAAAAAGCACTACCAACCAACTGCTACCTCGCCTCCCTCGTGGGAAAGAAGGAAGTGTTGTGCAAGCCGGTGAAATTAAATGCTATGCCGATAAAATGGGGCTATAAGAAAAAGCTTTAATTCTTGGGGCTACTTTTGTCACGCGAAGAATGCGCGGCAGCACGCTTTAGTTGCATGCCTTGGCCACGGGGAGCAGAAGTGCTGGCGCGAAGGTGCATTCCGGTAGATAACTGAGCTTTACAATGCGGCTCAGTTAAGGTTTCTTTTTTTTATTGCTGTAGGATAGTTAATGTGTCGTATATTTTCGTAAACTGTGCTGGTTTGGTGTTTCTGGTTGATGCCCAGGAAGTTTCTAATTAAGCCATACCTTTACATTTACTAGGGCTCTGCGAATAGTAATGTTTCAAATACAAATCGAATATGAATATCAGAAAAAAATAGCTTCAAATATTGAATATGTTTCCAATATGTGTGTACCATTAAGAAATAACAAAAGAAAATATGCAAATACTTTCTTTATTACTTTCAAGCCGATAATTATGTTAATAAATTCAAGGAAATGAAACTACCTGAGTAGGCAGCTTATAAACAATGGAACTAGTAACACAGCTATTGTACCTTGACTAGTAATCACTTGTCAACTGTACATGAAACCAGGCAAACTGATAATTTATAAAAATTGACAAACGTAAGAGTGTACAAAACTGGCAATCGGAACTTGGCGTCGTTCCGACATCGCCTGCGCGAGAAGCAGTCGACTTGCTCTCCGACTTGGTATGGTCTCGCTCATGGTGAACCAGACATTGGGACACGTGTGGATGCATCTAACACCCGTCATCTCTCGCCCAACAGAGTCTAAACCCCGGGAGGGCCATCGGCGAACTCAAGAAGCTGGTGTCCGGAATCTCGCAGAAGCCCAAACCCGACCTGTCGGGTGTGGCCTGAGCGACCCATCGGCAGATCCACAACTGGAATCCCTGTGATGTCGCACATTAGCTGTACAGCGGACGGAAACTGTAATAAAGTAATTCAGGTCGGGCAGGTCCTGGTGTCTGGGAATGGGACGTGACGCCTGAAATGCATCTCTGAGCGGTTTGCCTGGTGTCCTCCACCACACTCACTCGGAGACCGGTCAAACATCCGGTAGACAAAACAGGCGCCTACAGATTTCTGTTATGAACGGACCCAGTTTCCTACACGTGACTGCAGAGCTGCGCCTGTGAAAAGAAGCTGGCGCCACTGTCACCAATCTGCACGGTTCTTTAAAGGGAGCTGAGCAAAATATTGATGGTCGCTGATTTGTCCCAACATTGGTTTGGCACATCAATAGACACGATTGAAACAGCAACCCAAATTATGCGGAGCACAAGTTCGTCTGCATCTTTTGCAGGGGTTGTGTTGACGTCAGAATGCCAAGCTCTATCTGGTTCTGATTGAAGGATAGTGGGTAGACCTCATGGCAGCTTGCTTTGACGTCTACCCACTATCTTTCAGTCGGAGTGAATCGGAGCTCGGCGTTATGACGTCACCGCAACTTCTGCGCATGGAGCAGACGACTTGCTCTCCGGATAGGTCGGATTAATTTTTATTTTTGCGAAGTTATTATAATATGTAGAAATTTTGTTTGAAATGAAAGACACTACAGGCAAGACTGAAAATGTGACGACAGATGCAATATGGGCAGTACAACCCGGTCCCGGCAATTTATAAGTTGATTGTGTGAAAAATTTGTCTGCCGTTTGGCACGGCTGATGACGTCGGCTCGCTCCTTGGGACAGTTAATGCTTTCGCATTACTAACGCTGGGGGAGATCGCTTTGGCAGAGTGAAAAGAATGTGTGACATGCTGTGTTTCCTAAACTGCCTATACTCGTTTTTACCTCAAGAACCATAGTAAAAAAAGGTCTGGCTCCTTGCAGAGCCTTACTAATTTCCCTCTTTAAGCAGGTAAATGAGAGATGTAGGTTTATTTTAGATTACATAAATGTTTTCTTATCAAGATGTAGGTACACATTTCAGACGCCAAAAGCCTCACTTCTTCCTTTGGCAACCAAGTCTTGTAAGAACTACTTCGCACTGTGTATGAACCATGCTCAAAATTTCCTTTTTTCTTGAAGTGAAAATGAGTAAAGACAGTAAAATGTTTCGAAAATCTAACAAAATCCGAACCAATTTTATATATAAAAAAATAATTTGCTTCGTTTTTTATTGGTAGCAAGCTAACGTTGTGATTTATCGGCAAATATGAGCAGAAAATACAGTATTTTGTTTGTATGACTGCAATTGAAACTTGAATCTTGCGAGTTGTTTGTTGTGACTGCGCGCTCGCATTCTAGGTGCTTTTCGGGCCAAAATTGTTGCTTGGTATAGTTCATTACCTCATATTAATACTTTAGCTAAGACTTAAAGGGATACTTCAATGAAATTTTAAATATACCCGTCGTGATCAAAAATAGGCTGAACATGATCCACAATATTCGTAAATGACAATCGCACATTTGTATTTTGAGCCTGATGGCTGTATTTTTCGTTATAAACGGCCCACTCTGGCAAGCGCTCGGAGAACAGCCAACAGGAGGGATCGGTGGCCGAGTGGGCTGAAGCGCACACCCAGCTCGACGCGCGTGGAGCGAAAGCTCGCGCTGCAGAACCCAGGGATCCTGGGAGCCCCACCCCTGCCCGTTTCGATCTGGATGAGCATCGTACCGGCGTGCGGTCGTGTATCACTACTGCGTGATGCACGTTAAAGACCCCAGGCTAGCGGCTGTACCAGTTGTACCGCACTGGTTAAATTGCTCATCTACAGCGTGTGACTCGTCGCAACTTTAAGACCAACTACGCGCTGTATAAATATCCCCACAACCCAATTATTATTAGAACAGCCAGCGGAGAGCATCTGACATCCGACGCAATCGTGACGTAGTTCGTCTCGGGACGAGCAAAGTTACAGAGGCTGACGTCGAGAGTATGCCCTAGTCGTTCCAGCCACCGAAGCGGCTGCTTTTGTAAGAATTTTGAGTGACGGGTTAATGTTCTATAATCTTGTGCATGAACAATAGTGACATCTGGGACACACTAAAGGCAATCTCGGGAAGAGGGGAGTTCCTCCTTCCCCTCTTCTCTTGTCATGGCCGGAGGCAAGACAAACGTCACTATCTGCCAAGGTTCCTAGACGGGCATTACAAGCGAGGCGTAAGCGACATCCACCAGGTGGTCTTTGCTAATCGTTTAATTCGTTTTAAAATTCATTTTCGTGACTTTTCTAACAAGATATTGGTGTGTTCGATGTGATACTGGACGTTTGAACACATATAGACAAAAGAATAAGCGCTGAAATTTCGTTGTAGTATCCCTTTAAGCTTAAGAAGTATTACCTCGCAAGAAAGCTTGCCGTTTTACAACGCATGGCTGAGAAGGTTCAAGCTTCAATCGCGGTAATATTAACGAAATACTATATTATATTATATTTATATTTTCTACTAAGGCACTATATTATACCAAGTGCTACTTATAAAAAAAATAAGCAAATAAAAAATGTTTTTTTTTTTAATGAACACTGTCTCAGTGTTCATTCCAAACATTGTTACACATTTTGTACATATAATTGAATTTGTATTTTAAAAAGCTAGATTTGAGTTCTGATTATGTCAAGGTCATTAAAGGGACACCGAGGTTTTAATTTGTACATGACATGAGAGCCCAGCTACCCAAAACTATATGTTTTCTTCCTCCCGAAACCGCAGATTGAGAACTGGCCTGTTTGAGTCGCTCTCACTCTCTTCTCTGTGGTCACGTGTCGTTCAAACCACATGGTTCAGACACACCCACCAAATCTAATGAAAGTCGTAGGTCATCGAAGGCACACACTCAATATTAAAGATATATATAAAAAAATACAAAACCCATTTTTCGCAGTTTCTAAAAAACTGCTAATACGCCGATTGAAAATAAAAGAAAAAAGAGTGAAAAGTTGCACAGACTACCGGAAGCACTCTGTGCATTCTGTACCATGGCGCCGTATCACGGGAGTCGCGGGCTAAACGGCTGGAGTAAGCGATGGCGGCGGACGACGGGCGACGGATCTCTACTTCACAACTGGCGTTCGCGGTACCGGCGAATCTGTCCAGCTTCGGAAGAGAAATATCTTACCGATCAAAATCAAAGCCGCAGGGACTTGTGGGCCGGAACCCGGCAGTCGGCTTCGTGTTCATATTTTGATTCCTTATTATTGTTTTGCTACATCTTGCGGTAAAACACATATTAGCAGCAACAACAGAACAAATAATCTGTACACACCCGGGGCGGTGGCCCGCCACGGGTGTGCACCGTCCTCCCCGCCCCCCTTTCCCCCGCTGTCGTAAGCCGTCGCGACACCGCCCCCCCCCCCCCCCCCCCCCCCTTTCACTTCCCAGCTGCTTCCCCCCGAGCGTTGCACCCGGGGTAGAGTTCCTGTATAGCTAGCTACCTACGGTAGCAGAGTTGCGCATTCAGCCTCGGCGGGTGGCCGTAGTGCCGGCTTTCCCGCATGCCCTGGATGCTTTGCTCCTCACGTGACTAAATTTGGCGAATAGCGGCGCCGCGCACGGAAAAGAGGAGAGGAGGAAAAGGAGGAGGAAAGCAGGGGAACATACGCCGGGGCGCGAGAAACGTCGGCGGGGCGACCGTAAAGGTGGCTTTTTTGCACGGCGTGGATGCTTTGCTCCTCACGTGATGGATCTCGGCGAATAGCGGGGTGGCGGCGCGGGGAAAACAAATGCGCAACTCTGCTCCCCCTTCGGGGGAGCATATCAACTGCTTTCGTAGGAATTTTGAGTGACGGGTCGACCTTTTATAATCTTCTGGGAGGAGAATAGCGACGTCTGTGCAAATCCGGGAGGTACAAAAGAAGATCCTGATAAGAGGGGAGCTCCTTCTCCCCTTTTCTCTGGCGGTCATCAGAGCGCTTTTTGAATGACGTCACGTGCGTAGACTACGAGGGGGCATCGGGGCTCGTGCCCCCCCTGGTAAGATCCCGGGCCATGATCCTTACCGAGACGCTGTTTACGTGCCATGTAACGAGCTTCTAGTAGTGGCATGTAAACAAAATAACACACACAGCGACGGACGCATGGGGATATACATACGCTGTAAAATGTACCCCCTAAAATAAACTGCTGATAATTGCCGGAGTAAAAAAAAAATATGCGCGGAAAAGCACCCCCCCCCCCCCCCCCACCCCCCCCGGGAAAATGGAAAGTCAACGCCGCTGTACGATACATTACACAATAATCTACGTCTCACTTGTTTTAATAATCGTTTTTAAAACACCACTTCTTACCAATTTTTTTACCTCCTTTTGTTACATAAGAATGGTTATCAGTGTATCTTTGATGTTTTGTTTTTCTGGAGTTTCTTGAAATCGCTATTCGAATAATAGTTACTAACTTACTATAGTAACGAATTGGAACAGGTTCTCGAGCGGCATTATGTTCAGACATGCGTGATTTTGAAGTGGTTCAAATTTCTCATATTGGTATTGACAAAATCATTTTCAAAATACTTAACAACATTGCATACATGTTGTTAAGTATTCTGAAAATGATTTTGTCAATACCTCGAATTCTGCAAGCCGAACACGATCTATATACTGTGAGGCCATATCGCAGAACAGATTCGCCCAATGCCTGGTAAACCTGGTTGAAAAAACCCCCGAGACTGCGGGTAAACGACACAACACTAAAAGGTCTCCAATGCCTGGTAAACCTTTTGGAGTAATTCTAAATCCGCACCACTTCGAAGTAAGTACATACATATACGTCTAAGTAACTCAATCGTTTAAACATGCTCCATCTGCTTTTCCCTATTCATGTACTCGCCAAAAAATAATCCTAGACACTTAGCATTAGCTTCATAATTCATCTTGACATACATGTTCTTACCACGATCCTGCTTTAAAAAAAAACGAAAAAAAACTGTTATTTATCTATAAGTATACGTTTGGCGGGTTTATGATACACATTAGTTTTATTTGATAACTTGAAACCAGTTTAATATTGTATCCTT